TTGGGAATAGGTGAACGGTTGGACTGGGTGATCTTTTAGGTCTTTTCCAACCTTGGTGATTCTATGATTCTAAATGAAAATCCATCCCCTGCTATTCTCTTTGAAGGTTGGTTCGAGATCATTGCTTTTGTATCTTCACAGCTTTCTCATTCTGTTATGAAAGAACAGATTTTTTTTGTTTGTAAGATTTTTGTTTCCTACTGGTGGATGCACGAAGAAGTCTGGAGCTGATACCTGGGAAGCTGGGTTTGCTGTCTTGAGTCTGAGGGCAGCCCAGGCCAGGTGTACTTCTCATACTCTTGCAGACTTTAGTATTTTCCAAAGCACCAGAGGGTAATTTCTTTCCCTTGGGAGTAGTACAAGAGAGTGCTTGAGAGCCTGCTCTCCTGTTATAGAGCTTGAAATAGACACAGCAGATGTGTCAGTCATCTGTTATGTAGGCAGAAAGCAATATATAGGGGAAAACGTTCTATGGCTCTCCAGTGCAAATTTCTTTCTGAAAAATACAGTCTTTGCAGGTGCTGCCATAGGTACCTGAAGCTTTCTATTTTCCCTAATGAAATGAATGCTATTTCTGTGAAATTGGTATGTAAGAGACACGATGGCAGAAACTCAGAATGAATAGACCTATCTAACTGAACTGAAATTACTTAGAGATCCAGAAATAGGGTTTTTTGCACTGGGTGTATGTAGTAATTAATTTAATCATTAGGACTGTTACAAATACGACAAATATTCTCTTGCCTTGTCTGTGAGAATGGCAAATGGATAAAATCTTAAGATAAATCACTTCTGTTTTCAAGGGTGTTGGAAGTATCTGTAATGTTCTTTGTTCTGATGGGTTTTCTAGTTCATATAAACAGGAGATACTGATGGCTCTAGATTTATCCTCTGTTTCCTGGATTTCACGTGCAGATAGCTTTGAACAGCGGGTAACAGAATTGTATAGAAGGAGAATCTCAGAATGGCTGAGGATGGCAGGATGGCCTCTGGAGCTGCTTGTTTTGCACACTGCTCAAAGCACGACCGTGCAGGGCAGGGCTCAGCACCAAATCCAGGAAGCTGTTCCAAGGATGGTGCCTCCATCCATTATAACCTGGAGTAGCAGATATCTCATGTAGTAGAGTGATATGACTAATTAAGCCACTAATTGTCGTTTGGGGATGTAGATATAAGCTAAAATCAGCTTAAGTTTGGGAGAGTATTTAGGTCTTTGTGCCTACTGAAAGTCTGCATGCCTTGCTCTGAGACCAGAGAAGCTTTGGGGATGTTACCTTTCTTATTTGCGGATGATATGCATGTTTGGTATATAGAATATTGGGGGAAAGAAAAGCTTGTAAAAAGTGAAAAGCTGACTATGTTACATTGCTTTGCCACTTCAGTAATTGTGTCTTTTGGATTTGCATTGTAGGAAATAAAATAATGCTAACGAGACAACCGCATCCCTGAAGTTCAGGTTTTCAGGCTCGCTGCCATTATGGGTAAGTTCTGAGTGCAGCTGATATAAAAATTCAGTTACTTCTCATTTCTCTTGAAGAGCGAGAACGTTTACATAATGCCTTTTTTTATATGTTCTTAGGAAGTGTTTGTCTGTGTTAACTCATGTAATGTCTACGTGACAGGCAGCGCTCAGCTGCTTTACTGCTGTTCAGAGTACTTCTCTTTTTTTCTTTCTTTTTTTTTTTTTTTTTTGAGTAAAGCATTTTCTTCTCACTGTGTGATAAATGAAAAATCCAGTATGGGAAATAGAGATTCGTGGCATTAGAAACTGAGCAATACTTGTGCTCTGAATGGTAATGACTGCGAGAGAGTAGGGCTGACAACACTGGGTATGTGCTAAAGCATGTTATCATACTGCCTTGTGTCATGGTAATGCAAAGCCGGGGCTCGAGTGCTATAACTATGATTTTCTAAGTCTGTAGCATATTTGGATTATCTGAAATTTGATGTCAGTTTTACATGTCATACTGGTTCTTTTAAGGAGTCGACTGTCAATCTTGGCATCACTTAGTTGTGCTCATTCTCAAAGGGGAAACAAAAAAAAAAAGTGGGGAAAGTAGAAGCTTTTGTCTGTCTTTTATTGTTATGTGAGTGAAGCCTACCTGGTGCTCAGTAACAAAGTAGTAATTAGATTGGCGATGTTTCTTGTGAGATGACTATTGAATCACACTGGGTATTCAGTAGGCTTTTCTTTCCTTTGTATGAAATATGCTACCCAGTGAATGTTAAGGATGATATCTACGCCAACTAACAGCTAAGAAGTCTTTTTTACCTTGCTGAGGGCTAGAATGGGCTATGACACCATGAAATAGTTGGTTTGTGGCAAGTTACGAAGTGCATATTCATTTGAAGAAGGAACAAGTGTTAGCTGCAAGAATGCCACCAGTTCTGGCATTGAACATTTCTACTAAACTCTGGGGTATGTAAATCTATAAAAGCAGCTTTATGAGTAATGACAACGTGACCAATGCTCAGAGCTATTAAATATCAGCCCAGCTTTCTGATTTGTTAGGAACCTATAAAATTACAACACTGAAATCCCACCATTTCCTGATTTGACAAATTTGTTTACTGATTTGATTTGTCTAACCTCTTGTTCCTAAATTGTCCCTTGGTTCAGTGCTTGTTTCTCCCTGTGACTGTCTTGCTTTTGATTGGACCTACCCTACATGCAACAGGGGTACATGGGACTGGACATTTGAAAATCAGTGTAAATTAACAGTTCAAGAGTAAGTTCACAGTTGGTAAATTAAGATAGACCTCTTTTAATCAATGTTTTTTAGGTGGAGCTGGAGTTTGTTCAGCCTCGATCAGTTTGTTCTTAGACCAGAATAATAGTAAGTCAGTCATTTCTTCAGTGTGAAATGAGGTGAGGTTAAAGATCGGGTTTTCCTACTGAACAAGGCATCTTTCTCCTTTAAGAGAATATGTTCATGTTCTTATGGTTTGCTTTTTTTACCTGAATGAGGTTCTCTACCCAAATTAGGTAGGTGTGCAGCTTAGTTGTATTATAAATAGAGTGGTGTTTTGAGATTGTAGAACTGAATTACCATTCATTACTATTGACTTTTCCTTAAAGTTCTAATAAAGTTGTCTTTCATAAGATGCATTGTCAAAGGTAACCCCTTCCTTGAAGCTTTGCATGCTTACACAGAACTACGGGAACCATTTAGATATTGTACATTTGATAATTTATTGTGGGTCTGCCATAGGACTGAGACTTCATCAAATGCCATCCATTGCAGGGAGACTACACTACTGTTATTAAGCAGTTTATGAGATCATTCAGCCTGAACAGCTGGAAGTAATCTTACTCATGCCTTTCAAGTGTGAACTTCCAAGAGCAATGGCATTGTAATGTTTGTACATCACATGGCTAAATTAATTTTGCCAGTGGTGGGAAAAAAATGGCCACAAAAATGGGGAAGTGTATGTGTGGGGGGGAAAGGAGGAGAAAGTGAGAAAGAACTTGTGTACTCCAGAGCACTTCCCCACGCAGCAGCATTAGTCATCTGCTACCTTTGTTTTTGAGTTTCTTAGGAATGAGCATTAAAAGCCAGAAGCTCTGGTATGTGACTGTGTAGCTGGAGGTGAAAAGTGAAGAAGGATTGACCTGTAAGAGAAAGAACAGCTACTGGTATTAAAATTATTTCAGGGAATTTTTTTCATCTTTTATTGCTTCTGATGTTTGCCCTTTGAAATATCATTGCAAGACTGAGGAAGTGGTGGCTTTTGTCTCCAATTTTTAAACAGTGTTACAGTAATGCACAATTCTGGTTTCTTATCATAAGGTAGTGGTCTTTGATTCTCTAAGCCCCCCCAAAAATATGCAGTCCTACAGAACAGGAAAAAATTGAGACTGTGGGTCTTCAGTCGGTGCTCAAACAATTTAGCTGCTTAGGAGTTCTCTTGTGTGATGTGGCCCTACTTTTTAAACCTGCCACTTAAGTATATTTACTGATCAAGCTGTTTATTTCCTTGAGCACTGCTAACGACAGACTGTATGTATTGCAGCATGGCAGTAATGTAATCTGGCAATTATATATTGCAATATAGGATGGATTTTAGAATCACGCCTGCCTAACTGGGAAATAAGGCAGTGCCGTACTTCCAATTTTAACAGTCATTTACATTTCTCTTTTTTCTTCTGAGCAGATGAGCAGCAAGCTTTGAATTCAATCATGCAGGATTTGGCTGTGCTTCATAAGGCCAGTCGTCCTGCACTGCCCCAGCAAGAAACAGGAAAACCAAAGTCATCTTCACCTAAAAAACAGGTACTCTTCAACGTCTTTACTAACCCAGTGAAACCTAACTGGCCTACTGTGACTTCTGTAATTATTCTTCATGCCACAATGAGCTATTGGTTTCTTAGCTGCCATTTCCTTTGTTCATGTTCTTAAATTAGCAGCCAAATGAAGCTGTAGGGTTTCAGACCAGACACAGCGTATGCTTCAGTGGCTCTGATCCTGATAAACTGAATGTCACAGAGGTGTTCTGACAATGTATGGAGATCTCAACTATTTTTAGAATATTTTTAAATGTTGAGCTGTGGTAGCATCTTCTATTGACAATGCTTGTGTAGAATGAATTTCACAGGCATGTTGGGTTGTGCAAATGTCAGCTGGGCACATTATTGCATGTCAGCAACGCAGCTGAAACATTCTTACAGTTCTTTACTCCATCTGTGGTCTGCATGTTTTGTTAGCTTGTTCATATGCTGGAGATGAGAATTCTTCTCAGCCGTAGTTTTTTCTACATATATTCAGTTCAGCACAACTGGAGAAACAGGAAGTTGTTGGTAGGTTGGAACTGCTGTACAGAGAGGCTCAGAGAAGAGAAGTTAGGGCTGTTACAGAAGTATGGGTAAATATCCAATTAGCTGCATGCTTATGTGATTGGACCCTTAATTGCCAAACCACAATTACATGAACCATTAATTAGCACAGGCCTGTTTAACCTAGTAAAGATGAAAGCGTTTGGTTCTTACACTACAAAAAAAAGCCGTGTCTTGTCCTTACTATTGAAGTTCAGTATGTGACAGTTGTGTGTTGCTGGTATCATGAGAGTTCTCAACTCTGACTGTAGATGTAGAGGTAATATACAGCCATGATCCATAATTATCTGAATATAAAAATATTTAGAAAGTTAGGCAAATATAGTTGAGCCACTTCTGGGTTTAAACATTTTGTACCACAATTTGATAACCTCGTGGCTGTGAATATTTATAGATATGTTGGTTATTAGGAAATTGGATGCATGGATGCTAGCTTAACGTGGGTTTAAATGGTAATATGTATGAAACAAGTTGTGTTTCTTGTACACAACATTCAGCTACGTTAAAACCTGTCCTGATAGCAAAGGCATCAACTTTTTCTTTCAAGAAAGTCATAAGCAAGCAACTGATGCTGATGTCACAGATGGAAAAGGAGTTTTTGTCTTTGCTTTTCGTTTTGAAATAATGTTATCTTCTGAAATGAAATAGTTGATGTATGAATAGCCCAAAACTGTGGGAACTGTTATTTTGTCCTCATTTATTTGTGCATTATTTGTCATTTGTTGTTACTGTCATGAAAAAACAGGGAACAAGACAAGTGAAAATCATTAATTAGGTATATATAAAAATATCTTGCTGCTGGAAAGCTTGTTAGCTGTTAGAAGCTACTGTAGTTGTCCTGGTTTTATACCATGATACCACACAACAGGCTGCTGGGTGCAGAGGCACTGTGCACTGCTTGGAAAGGTATCTTTCCAAGTAGCTTAAAAAACGAGTATCTTTGCAGTTCATTTTGTAAAAATAAATGATGGTTCTCATTTAAAAACAGAGAGGAAAGCTTCTTTGCATACAAGGAAAGCAGCTGCATTGTTCAGCTTGAAACTAAAAAGAACAGGCAGCTCAGTAGTTGAAAATATTCATCAGCTGCACAAATGAATGCTTGAAAGAATAGTTGTCTTCTGTCCATTTGCAGAGAGGTGCTGTGTTTGTGCCCACGCATCACTGAGTGTGGAAGAATGGCTGTGACAGAATCATTTAAAAATATGAATTATTTCCTGTTGTTTCTCATAGCATTCATGTCAGTGTGTGTTTGTGGTACGTGATTCTTTGGGGCTCAGTTTCATGCTGAACTTAAATCTACACTTCTGTTAATATTAAAATATACTGATTTTAAAATAACATGTTAACTTACAGAAGCATTAATTCTGTATGTTTTACCCAATTTTAAGCCTCTCCTGATATCTTAGCATAAGCAGCTTGTTAACAATGCTTGGTAAATCAGAACAGGAGAGTCATACAGAGTGCTTAATGGTTTTTCTTATGACTTGGGATTATTATTGAATGAAATTCCATTGCTTTCATTACAGAAGGCAGTAGCAAACTAATAGTGGTCCTTCTGTATCCTTTTTGTTACAGAATGATGTTAGAGTCAAATTTGAACATCGAGGTGAAAAAAGGTAAGCTGGATACATAGGAAACAATCTTGGTTTTTATCATGAGAACTAACTTGTCTAGTGTGCTGGGTTATAAGTATGCATGAATATATCTTTTATACTTTAATATATCTTTTATACTTTTACCCTTCACATTGCTACTTGCAGCCTGAAATCTTAAATGTGAACAGAACAGATTTATTTTTTGCTGCACCATGCAGTTACCAACTGCATGGTAATGTGTTGTTACTCTGACACCTGGAGCCTCAATCCTTACTATCAGTAGTGGGTTGTGCTGTGAAGGAATGAGTCTGAGTAATGTAATAGGAAAACACAGTCAAATTTATAATTATTATAAAACTTTTTTTAACGATCAGAATTTATTGTCCTTCTGCTTATGAGAGGTGAATGATGTGCACCCTTCAACCCTGCTGTGATGAGTGCTCAGGAAGTTTTGCAGAAGTCTGTCACTGATTCTGTGCAGATCTGGTTTGCAGGCGACTGCAGCTGTCTCTTTCTGAAAGGATTGCACCTGTGCAAAAATAGTTATGAGGTCTTGGAAAATACTTAATGAAAGGGGAAATAACACCGTGGTCACACTATTTGTCAATAGAGATGGTAATCCCCTTAAGCACAGATTGCTCAGCGGTAAAACCTCTGCTACTTCTTGGCAGTCCTTAATGGTGTGCAATAGAAGAGTGTCTCCATGCTGGTTACAGTGTGCGATTCCTCGTTAGGCAAGTTACGAAGAGATCAGTCAATTCCCTGGATATTAACGTTCTTCAGTAACTTTCTGTCATTGTTTCTGAACATCTCAGCTGACAGACTTAGTAATGGCTGAGTGTTACAAGTACTTTGGAGGAAATAAGTCTTTAAAATGCTTTTAAAATGGGGGACTTCTCTACCTTGGGATCTCTTGTGAAATAAGCAGAAGTGTGTGTGTAAAACAGAACTGCTTACCTGCTGCCAGCCTGCTCAGCCATGCATTTCTGCATTCCACCTTAACTCACTTTGACAGCATTAAACAATTTCATATGAAAGAAACATGAAGTGAGTGCATGCACCAGTGTATTCTCCAAACCTTAGTGGTGATAAGTCTGGCTGTGTTTGGGTTTGTTCCAAGCAACTTGAGTCTGCTTGTCCAAGGGTGCCGGGCAGACCAGGCTCATTGCATGAGTTGTAGTGCTTTCACTACCCAAATATGTAGATTTAAAGATAACTGATTTTTCTTGCATCATTTCATTATTTTATGTGATGGCTTCTCACTAGTTCTTCAAATGGGAAGTAGGAAAGGGAAGTGATTCCAGAGTTCCTTTGAGTGATGAATGGGGCACTCTGTACCAAGGAGGATGCACTGTGATGGGCAGATCCAGACCTGCTAAACAAATGGTTAACTACAGTGGCAATTGATATGGCTTTTATTCCATTATTTTTTTTATAATAATAATAATAATACATAATATAATAACAATTTCTAATTGCAAATGTCCTGACCTGTGGGCCTATTTCAATAAGAAATAGTTACCTAGCCAGTGTACCTGTTACAGCAGGGATAACAAAGACAATAATGTTTGCTTTGTTTTCTGCCAAATAAAATTTGAGTACATTCTACTTCAAATGCGAGTGTGCCTCACTAGCTTAGTCACTTGTGTAATCGTGTTCTGTTCCAAAGGATACAATAGTTCTCTATTACAAAAGGTCAGGTAAATGCATGTGGGGCTTTTTTGGTTTGGAGGGACATCCAATTAAATGAAAATTGGAAATTTTGACCTACAACTGAATCATTCTTTTGGGAGTACATTGGCACAGTTACTTAATGAACTCATCATTTGAATGTGTAATTCATTATTGTAAAAAATGGCAATCTTTAGTTATCTTCCTCAGATGAGAAACTCTTTTTAATCTTCAGAAAACGAGGACTGGCACTCCTGCTTGTCAGCCCGTCAGTCTGCTGGTTTACTTTGTTTTGTGAAGTAGGGCATGTAGAAGTTTCTAAGAACTTACCTTTGAAATGGAGGCAAAGCATTGAGAAAGAGGCCGTGTGTAGGCAAGTTGAGTACTTCTTTTTGAGTCTAATTTTATGCTCATTTTTTCACTTTTTCATTTTTTTTTTAGTGATACAAAGCATAAAGAATAGGAAATAAAGCAGGTCTTCCTTTGATCTTTTTAGCAATAAATTTTATTGTAAGAGTATTTTTAAGTAACGAGACAGCAGATTTTCATAAGTAATGGATGAAAATTCTCTGTAACTGAAATTGTGTTTCAGGATACTCCAATTACCCAGGCCTGTCAAACTTGAAGATCTTGTAGCTAAAGCTAAGGTTGCGTTTGGACAGACTATGGATTTACATTACTGCAATAATGAGGTAGTGGTTTGTATTTTCTAAATCCTCTGTGAATTGTGCACTGATTATTTTAAGGCAGAAACTTGCCCTTGTTAGCATTGACAGCCACTCCTGTGACAAAATCCCAAATTTTTGATGTGTGTGTTCTCAAATATAGGTCTTCTCTAAATCATGATAGGCATGAGATGCATGAACTGTTCAGTGGTATGGAACATCTCAATGAATCATGTCTCAAACAGATGGAGCTGTAATATTGTGCAATAGAAAAATAAGCTTTATAGCCTAGAAAATAAGACTTGTTCTTATATACTTGCATAATTTCAATTGAGATGGACAATACATTGACACTGTTGCACACATTTCTCTGAAACTGTAGGAGAAGTTGTGCATATGTGAAGTGATTGTTTCCACACTGTGAAGACTTGTTCTGACAGGCTGTGGCTGTTGAAGGCCCTAAAAGAAGAGTTAAGGTTGAGCTTCAGGCTTTTGTTTTCTGTACGTCTTGATGGTAACTTGAGGGATTGTTGGTGAATCTTATTGTTGGCTTGGAATGAAAGGGAATAGATCAGTTCTTTTATGCACCTGACTTGTTAATTCTTTCTTTTGCCCTATTTAAGGCATCTGTTTATTAACAATTTTTTTTTTCTTTTTTGTAGCTTGTAATTCCATTAACCACACAGGATGACCTGGACAAAGCTGTTGAACTGCTTGACCGTAGTGTTCATATGAAGAGTCTCAAGATATTGCTTGTAATACATGGAAATACACAGGTATGAGTTGACATTCGTAGTGCTTTTTTCCTCAGTTTTCAGACCAAAGTATAGTTTGTCTTAAAGATGAATTTTTTCCCGTTGAAAATATTCAGGGTCATTTCTTCAGTTCAATGAAAAAGCATGTATTAGCATTTTGTACTGAGTCATCTGAACTTCCCCATAGGTACTGAGCCTCCTTTTTTGTGTGCCTTCTTTACAGTGGTTGACACGTGCTCCTTAGTAGGATAATGATGTGATAGAGAACTGAGAAGTGCATAGTTTTGATGCTACTTTGGTTGTTTGAAACCATTCTTTAAGTTATGTGGTTTTGTATGGTGTGTAGCAGCAAACCTAAATGCTGAGTTACTTCGTTAATATCTAACAGCCTCCATGTTGCTAGCATTCTGTGTAATAGTATATATTGATGATGATTTCAAATATTTAGGGTGAGCTATTAAAATAGATGATTTTTGGCATAAGTTCATAAGTTTGGTTTTGACTTATTGACACAAATGAATACTTTGTACAAAAGCTTTAAAAGTTTGTGAAGTGTTTTGATTGTTAGGAGTATAAAGTGATAATTGCAGTGCATAATATGTACTCTTTTTCAGTCACCCAGTGTAAATAATGTGGAACCCCTACCCTCACTGGAAGATTTAGATAATACAGTGTTTGGTGTGACAGAAAGAAAAAGGAGGCTTTCTGTATTAGGTGAGCTACACTTGTCAACAGCTGTAATTGTAACAACTTCGGTAATATTCTCTTCCTGAAGTTCTTGTTCTCAGCACAGCCTGTTTATGTTTCTCTTACTCATCAACAAATATTGTGCTATAGAGTTTACATGGCAGTACATTTTCTTGCTCAAGTTAAGGCTCCCGTAATTTTTAATCTTAATATATGAACATTTGTTTGAGATGCTTTTCTTGGCATCAATCTAACATTTTTGCCTATTTGTGTTTTTAAGTTGGCGTGATGAAAGCTTCCAAATCTGACTGAAACTACAGGCAGTTTTTCCAGACAGTTTATGTTGTTATGAATGCACGTATTTGTGTTTTTGAAGATAAAATAGTCTACAAAGGAGAACCAAAATTCTCAAGAGGTAGAAAGCATTAGTTGGCATGGAAAAATAGTGGTAAAGAGTGCTTGGCTTTTTGTTTTGTACCAAAGAGGAAATGTACCTATATAGCCAAATTATATTTCTGTTCCTGTACGTTGGGGGGGGAAAAAAAAAGCAAAACATTAAACGTAATTGAGACAACCCTGCCCCACATGTTTCATAATTCCTGGTTTATAGCTTACAGAACAAGTATTCGGGAAGTTTCTCAAGCAACAAGTTATCCAGGCAGGCTGGATCATTGAGTGTAAATCCAGGGTCATTTGAATGAAGTCTCTGCATTTTGTGTTGCTGCAAGGACACTTACCAGCCCTTTTCTTTCAATAGGTTCTAATAATCGTGACAGAAGTTCACCTCCCCCAGGATACATTCCAGATGAGCTGCATCAGGTGGCTCGAAATGGGTCGTTCACCAGTATCAACAGTGAGGGTGAATTCATTCCAGAAAGCATGGATCAGGTAGTGTGTGCTTTAGGAAATTAAAGATTTTTGGAGCGAGATGGATTTACAAAGTCCTGCTGTTCAAGAAGGATATGGAATTGCCACCCCTGGAAAACGTAATCTGTGAGAGAAGGTTAATTACAGTGATTTAGACCAGTAGGAACCTTGTTTTTCTCTGTCAGTCTCTTAAATAATTTAAGTTGTTGCTACAAAAGGATTGTATTCTTTATTTTCATGACAGATGAGTTACTAAAATAAAAATTACAGCAAGAGGTGCCCGTGTTAGAAAGCACAAAAACATTTATTAAGAAGAATATGTAAGTAGTAACAGTTGTGCTACTTGTGGAAATAATCAGGATGCTTTAAAGAGAATTTTGGATCTGTCTGGATTGTTTGGACTCAGCTGATAGCGTTTTGGGGGAGAGGCAGGAGGACAGCGAATAAAATACTTAAATAGTTCTGTTTTTGTGTGAGGATCACACCATGTTTGTTCTCATCTCATTTGCGTTGTTGGCGTGGGCTTACTAGCACAATTAGCATTTATGGAAATCCTGCTGTCTGAATATCAAAAACATCAGGAAAAGGAGGAGGAATGCTTCTCGGAATTGACAAGTAATGTATTTTAGGGAGAGAAAATAGTGCTTCGGGTCGAAATCATTTCAATTTCTTGTTGGTGTTGTAATGGTATTTGCAAACGGCAAGAGGCGGTGGTTTAAATGAGCTGAATAAATGAGAGACAGATGACAGAATAAAAATAGTGGCAGAAAGATTGTGCAACTTGTTGCACAATTTTCATGGCTGAACTGGGAGTAGGGGCTGAATCTTATTCCAGTCCAGGATGCTATTCATTATTGTAACCACATGGTCACCTCCAGCCTGAGCCTGGGTTTGTTCAGTGAAGCGACTGCTTTTGGCCCGGGCTGAGTCATTTTGGTCACTGACTGGCCCAGTGGATGAGCTGTGAGGACCATTTCTCTCCTGAGCACGTGTAAGCTGCCGTGTAAATGTTGCTATATGAGTTGTCAGCAGGGTTTAAATAAAGGAATTTTACTTCCATAGGATGTTAATTCATACCAGGCTGCCTCCTGGACTCGTTGCTCAGCCCAATAAAAGAGAATATAATCGCTGAACTTTTGGTGAATTTAATCTTTCCAAATAGAGAGTTCATTTTAAGTGTCTGAATTTGTAAAGTACAGACTCACTTTCTGTGCACTATTTTTGCAGCAAGACCTCAATGAGTCTTAGGGAAGTTATGGATCCAAGACTTTTAAGAGGCAGCACAGGCCATAAAAATTGGAGGGGCAACTGCTTAATTTACAGCAATAAACTGTCATCCAATTCATAGGGAGCAGCGGATGTCGTACAGAATACTGAAACAAACTGTATTTGAGGAAGAAGCTCATTTAAAACAGCAGATGAGCTTTTCATAGTTTGTGAGAGGTAGACTGGTTTGTGCTGCATTCAGCATTTAGATACCTCTTCCATGTCTCTTGAAAAAATAAAGATATGAAAATTTCAGATTGCTTTACTGCCAGAGACAAAGAAGTAATGATTAGGACTGAAGGGTGGTAGTGTGGCATAAACAAAATGAATATTAGATGGGGGAAAACAGCTGGTTGTCAGGAGCACCCTTTTTATTTTTCTTTGGATTCAATTTGAGCAATGAAAAAGTGTTGGTATTTATTTTCATTACGTAATGGGTCTGGCCTGGATACTCAGTTTTATCATTTCTTCCTCCTACATGTGTGGAAGATTTCATGCAACTTGGGGGTGCTGCTTACTGGGAAATCAGGACTATTTAGAGACTAAAAAAGCCCTGTGGTGTGTCTGTAAACTCCTGCTTCAGGTGGAAGTTTATTTTATATAGAACGTGATTTGATTTGGGTGAAAAGTTGTGTTCTTTCTCTTATCTCCTTTTCTTTACTGTTTGGTTGTATTTAAAATTCTGCATTCCTTGCTTGGAGTCCCAACTAGAGATAGATGAGTTAAAGCTTTTTTACAGTGTTTTATTTCTGCTGTTTTCTGTGGGTTCTGGTTGGTCAAACTGAAAGCAATTAGGAGATTATATAAATTGCATTCATTATCTGTGTCACGTTTGAGGCTTTTTTCTTTGATAGCGACAAAATCCACTTTTTTTCTTTAAGCTGTTTTAGCTTTTTGTCTCTTTGGAGGCCTTGTTGTTGTTCTGTTAGGCCAGATTGGTGCTGGTAATACTGTAATAATAGGAGACAGTGGTGTCTACAGGAAGAGTGTAGGAGTGCAGCTCAGTGTGTGACGAGCATTGTTGAGTATGAAATGCCTTCACTAAATTCTGCTCGACAGAGTGATGGAATCCTTTCAGGGAAAAATATTTGAGGCAGGTTTAACGATAGCAGTCATTCTTTTCTCTAGTAATTCCTGTTTGTTTGTTACTAGTGTTGTCTCTTTTTTTTAATTCAGAGTTTCAAAGCATGAATGTTCAAGCCATTAAAAAAAAACAAACAACTTTCTGATCTTTATGTACATGGTTTTTATTAGATGCTGGATCCACTGTCTTTGAGCAGTCCTGAAAATTCTGGCTCAGGAAGCTGTCCCTCACTTGACAGCCCTTTAGATGGGTAAGAACTGCTTGCATTCATTAGTCATCTTTATTGGCTTGCTTAATGTGTTAATTAGTGTGACATATAATAACCAAAAAATTCTACATCATTCTTCAACTCATTAAAATTACTAACTTAATCCTATGGCTTCTGTGGAGAAAAGAGGAAATATTTGGAGGCATTAAAATATTCTGCATTTCTTTGTTTAAATTTGAGGGATTTTTGCAGGCTGTGTAAGAGATTTTGCATTTATAAACCCTGTGTTCAGCCATCAGAGTGGTAAACTTGAGTGTTCCTTTGTGGCTTTACTGGTGTGAGTGGCACAGCCTGCTGGTGTCTTACCACACTGAAGCCAAAGAGCAAGGTTTTCCATTGCTGCTTATCCCGAATGATTATTGATACCAATAGATTTGATGTCTAGATCAAGTTCCACATTTGTGAGCAGCAACTTGTATAGCATAAAGCTCCCATCGGCCGTAAAGCATTGTAATGCAGTGGGATTGTTTAGTTACTGTAGTTGCAATTTTAAAATACTTTGCTTTCACATTTTTAGAGACAACTATCCCAAATCTCGGATGCCGAGAGCACAGAGCTATCCAGATAATCATCAGGAATTCTCAGGTAGGCAAAATTGGCTGGCCTCAATGGCTTTCCCAGGTACTTCCTCTTGCAAGTAATCAAAAGGGAAGTTCATATTAAGGGGTGTTACTTTACATAAGCTTGTAATGATAGCAGAAGGCATAGCAACAAAATGCAATCCAAACAGACACAGTGAAAGATGCAATGAAACATATCTTGTAAAGGTTTTTTTCTGGTCAATGTGTGTAACACCAGTGCTGTTGTGTTTAGTAGGATGTACCTCTGCTGCTGGGAAAAAAACAACTGATGCAGTGCCTACTGGCACGCAGGTTGCTTAAAGTGGACTGCAGTGTCCATCTTTAAATTGGTGCGTAGTCCTTCAGTAATTTTCTTAGTGTTTAGCTGTTGTTTCATCCTTTGTAAAAAGAGAATCGTTTTTAAGTGCTCATAACTGCTGTAACTGAAAGCATTCCAAAGTGCAAGAATGAAGGAGAGCTGTTTGCTGTGCCTATAAATTAATGAGTCATCACCACTAACATTGCTTTCATACCGTATTCTGGCTTGAATCCAAATTGCTGTGCACGATTCAGGACACCGAGTGCAATGGGTAACCTTGAAAGTTTTTTCAGGTATCTTTGTGGATGTGCTTCAAATAACATACTTTCAAAATAATTTTGTCACCACACTTTTTGTTCTGTCTGCAGATCTCATGTGCAGTTAAACTGTATGAGTTGTAGCCCAGATTCTTGTGGAACTACTGAGCACTGCTTCCTCCTTATGTATTCGTTTTCTAACCAATTATTTATCCATGAAGGAGTTGCAACTAAAATATGAATACGTAATAAATTATAAAGGAGGACTTACTGGCTGTGTTTTGGTAATTGAGGATGTGTTGACTCATTTACCAGCATTCTGCATTTGTTCATTTTTAAATCTTAAACTAAACTGAATTTCTGTCACTTCTCCTGTTGAGCTGTTATTTTTCAGAACGTGTCTATTAATGTCTGTAGTAACTGGGCATGCTGCAGTCCTCTGGTACTGTTTTAAGCAAGAGATTACAAACAATTTAATGTTATATTCTTGAAATCCTTTGGAACTTTTAGCTGGATTTGTTGGTTTTGTGTGGATTTTGTTCTATAGCATTCTTTGCCCTGAAGCTTCAGCTTTGAAATGTATTCTGTGTTCTTACCCACGTTTAAATTTATAATACCAGAATGATTAATGTGTATGCCTGGGTTGTATTTTTAACTTTGAAATGTATCTTTGTATTTTCTAGTAGATTATGATATCCCAATATTTGAGAAGTTTGGAAAGGGGGGAACTTATCCCCGCAGATACCATATTTCATATCATCAGCAGGATTACAATGATGGTAAGTGTGAAAACTGTAGGAGTCCTACATAATTAACTTGCTTTTCTCTTCTTAAAAACTAAAGAAGAAAATCTATCTAATGAAATCTTAATGGTGCACGTGCAGCGCGTAACTAGTTACTCCTGTGTAACAGAGTTGAAAAGTAATTGCTGCCTGCAGTAAAATTAAATCTCACAAGAATCTGTTTTGTTTCTCCTTAGCTTTCTTCTATCAAACCTTAATACATTCCTTAAAGATTTTTTCAAGCATTTGTGCAAGGCCCTTATTTTCTCTTCAATCTTGTGGCAGCCAAAACTCTGTGAGTTGGCTTGAGGAAATGTCCTCTTGAAATGGTGCATTGAATTAGCTACATGTGACAAATCAATTTTGGCTGTTTTATCATGTCTTCTCAGTGATTTTTATAACACTGCTCAATAATTTGTTCACATATCACAGCACTGAAATTGGCCTGACTAGTGTGTAAATGAGTCCACTCCTTCAAGATGTTTCCCTTGCCTTCTTCAGTCCTCTGGGAACTCCATCTCTGGTGTAATACTTAATGACTCAAATGTTCCTTCAGCGATTTATGCTGAAGCTCCCTTGGATGAAACTTCATCAAGCTGTGCTGACCTAAAAATGTTTGTTATCTGAATATATTGATGTTATTCTAAGCATCTGGATGTAATTTACCTTTTTGAATACGTGTCCTTTTTTATTCCAGTGCCGTATCCATTGCTAAGTCATGCTATATTTATGATGTTTCTTTCGTGCTTTCCCTGTTGATTCCAAGGGTAGAGCTTTCTCTACTTTTTATTCTTATTTTCTTTAAAGAGCAAATATGGCAACGTGGGCATCGTTTAGATGTCAACATCTGTCTTTTTTATCAGGAATGTATTCTTCCCACCTTGTTAGTGATACAGATATAGGTGGGGCATTTCCCTTCCTGCCCTCACAGCCTCCTGTCTGTTTCTGAAGCATGTCAGTTAAATTCAGGACAGCTGTAGAAATTGCCCTCATTTTGCCGCTTGCAGTTTTGGACACTCTAATTTAAACCATTCAGACCAATCTTTATGTAACATCTGTATTAATTTCTAGTTTGAAACTTTTGGAAAATGTCATCGTTGCTGCATCACATGATATGGCGTGGGAGGTGTGAACCATGCTGTGTAGAATTCATAAAGCATTTGCATACACAGATGACATAGTAGTGTTTGTAGCGTAACGTTGGTATTCTCTGTGTAACACTGAAGGTCGTAAAACCTTTCCAAGAGCCAGGAGGACGCAGGGGAACAGCTTCCGGTCACCCGTTAGTTTCAGTCCCACTGATCACTCGCTGAGCACCAGCAGTGGGAGCAGTGTCTTCACACCAGAGTACGAGGATAACAGGATGAGGAGGAGGGGGAGCGACATTGACAATCCTACCTTGACAGTCATGGACATCAGCCCACCCAGTCGCTGTAAGTTAAGGAACTTCGTGACATCTGCTGCAAAACTCTTACCTTTCAAGTTTGTCATGTCGAAAGAAATGTGATTGAACAATGTGCTGCTCTCTCCCTAATAGGAAAAAGTCAGGATTTCGTGCTCTCTATTTTTTTCATTGCTTGCTGTGCCAGTCTTCATTTAGATTTTTCCATGGAATATACGTCTATGGTAACAAATCACTATGAAAATATTTTTGATGTGTTAAACTTTGAAGGACATGAGAAGGCTTATGTAGGCTGGAGTAACTTGTTGGCCTTTGTTGCTAATGTTATATGTCTGTGATGGAGCAAATATTCCTTGCGATGACTTCAGTAGTTGGCAGCTTTTGATTAGGCCTTCATTTTTAAAACAGTGTTACTAAGTTTGCTTAACACACTCTGTCTGTTTTTCAGCTTAGCTGTTGTTAACTGCTGAAGTATGCTTAACTTGACAAGAAATTGATTAATTTGTAGTAAATTTCCCATCTTACAGGAAGTTTTATTGATATTTGTAACTTACATAGAGAAAGTGTGATCTTACTTTGAAAAATGTAGTCCTTGAAAAAGTTATTTTCTATGTGTTGTTTTTTCTTTTAATCAGTTGAATAACAAACTTACATTAAAACAGAAATCTTGTTTACTTTTTCAGCACCACGAGCTCCAACTAATTGGAGACTTGGCAAACTGCTGGGTCAAGGTGCATTTGGCAGAGTGTATCTGTGTTACGATGCTGATACCGGAAGAGAACTGGCTGTTAAACAAGTGCAGTTTGATCCTGATAGTCCAGAAACTAGCAAGGTATGAGGTACAGTGCAGAGGTGCTGTGTGATAAGCTCAAGTGTTACAAACTAAACTTCCTTTTCTGTGTTTTAATACGCGTTTCCATGTCTTCATTAGGAATTCTGTTTTGTTAATAGCTGAAATGAATTAGCTTGGTTACTGATTTTAGTGTCACACCACATTTTAAAATTGTTGGGCAAATCCTCATTCAGTGAACGCGTTTGATTTTGTTGGTTTTTTTGTTGTGGTTGTTTTAGGAAGTAAACGCTCTTGAATGCGAGATTCAGTTGCTGAAAAATCTGCTGCATGAGAGGATCGTTCAGTATTACGGCTTCTTGAGGGACCCGCCTGAAAGAACACTCTCTATATTCATGGAATACATGCCAGGGGTAAGCAAGGAAACAGTCACCTCACCCATCATTTCTGTGGGATGCGGTAGGCACCCAAAAAAGTGCCAGAAGTGCAAAAGGGGGCAGCTTTTGCAGAAAGGCACACAGGTATTAAAGAAGCGTCCAAGTTAAAATAAAACAATAGCTGGGTACCAACAAGTATTTGTAGCAGTCCCTCCATGTCTTTTACATTGTTTGCTTTTTCAAAATTGTTGTGGTTTGTACAAAATTTTTTTGCATTTGACTGTGGCATATGAAGTGCTGAGCAACCTTTTGAAAAGCCTGCATCGTTTGTATACTCTTGAGTCTCCTTGAACTTAATATTTCGTTTTGTAATGCTGTGGGCTCTTGGCTTGGCAACATATCAACTGCGGAATTGTTTTAAAACAAGAAAGGTAGCAAAGATAGGTGTGGGAAGAAGTGCATACCAAAATTTTCCTCTCTTTGTTTGTGGCACTTGGATACATGCAGAACTGTTCTACTGTTACCGTTATGGTAAGAAATGTACTCAGCTCTGAACAGTGCCAGTTTTCATTTTCTCACCAAGTGGGGTCAGCAGAGCTAAATAAAATGTGCTTTATACATAGGATTTGTATTTCTGAATAGTTGCAGCACTGTACTTCACGGAAGAAAAGTGTGTTTTTAGGTGAGTTTTGGGCTTTGTTTTGGGAGGATTCTTGAATTCATTTGAGATTTGAAAGACAGTATTGCAGCAATAATCTTTGATTAAAAGAGCCATGTTATGCAACGATGGTTACAGAACTGAATTTTTGACTTGATGTTCTTTTAAGCTTACTTTTTAATTTTTATTTAGCTATAAAGCATCACCCACCAGCCTCTCCTGTTTTTTTTTTTTTTTTTTTTTGACAACTTTTTTTTTCCCCTTCAAATATAAACTAACAATGTAAACTGACCTGCTGATCAACTTGAGTATCACCATTTCATTATCAAAAGAACCAAGAGTGGTGCTTACTTACACGTTCCCTTTTTCTGTACAACACGCTGTTGCTGTTTAGCTACTCAATAGTTTTAGAGTTAATGGCTTAACATTTTAATGCATGACTTCTCTGTTCAGCCTCTTTTGTGTAGAAGCTTTGATTTAAAAAAATTTTTTTTAAGGGACACAAAACTACATCTGTGCTTTAAAGTTGACCCAGAATGCCCTGCAGCTTAAAATGTCTGTGTTTTGGCCATGTAATCATCACTGAAGTTCAGCATTAGTGTATCAGACCACTTGTGATCCTAGGAACATTAGTGTTCTATACTTCTTTGCCATAGGGGTCCATCAAAGACCAATTAAAATCATATGGAGCACTCACAGAGAACGTGACTCGCAAATACACACGGCAGATCCTAGAAGGAGTTCTCTATTTGCACACAAACATGATCGTCCATCGAGACATTAAAGGTAAGAAGGAGGACAGTCTTGGGCACAGTTTCATGCTGTTTACTACAAATTCTTTTTCAGTCCTGTCAGCCAGGTGTGACTAAATTAAGCATGGGATACTGAAATACTGACTCTGATGGAAAGCAATCATGATTCTTTTATTCTTGTCACTGTTGTAAACTGAGTGTTCTAGCAGACTTCTGAAAAGGTTTCCCTAGTGTCTGTCTGCAAAGCATTCATGATAAAATTTCCTTCTGAATTTAAATAGCTTTGAATGTACCAAAAGACCATGACAAGCAGTTGGAATGTACAGAGGAAAGCATCATGACACAAAACTGAGTTTTGTTTCTATCAGCTATGCAGAAACTGCTCAGCCTTTCACTGTTACAGAATTGCCTGGCAGAGGTGACTCCCCTGACCTCAGTGACTCACACTTCTTGCATTCTTCTGCCAGGAAATTGATGTACTTACTTTTTGCTGATAGATAAAGGGGATGTGTAAAAGCTGCAAGAGTGATATGAAGAGAAAAAAAAAAAAAAGAAGCTGCAAGAGATATGTGGGAAGATGGTGGTGATGTGCAAAATAGGTGTGGTGAACAAGCTTTGTATCCTCTAAAACTCTTACAATTTTCCTTTTGCTTTGTATCAGTAACGTTTTTTTTTCCCCAGAAAGGTGAAATAACAATGACATTTCTGTTATGCAGATGAGTATTTTGAGCAAGTCTGTGACACAATTTGAGATTTTCTTTTAGTACCGACTCGAGGCGTTTTTAGTAGTGTGAGAATTCCCTGTTTCGGGTTGTTGCCCTCACATGGCACACTTCTTTTCTTCATCAGCAGTTCCAAAGTAATTGAAACTTTCTGGGAAAGGCCTAGGTTGCAAAAGACACGTTAACAGTTCATTTTACTGAACCTCCAAATAGAGTAATAGGAGTGGAGAAATCCTCTGCAAGTGCCAGACCCATCTCACACTGTATTACTGAACCCAAGCTTTTTTAATACTGCTGTCTACACCAAGCTGCATTCTTTTCCTTCCAGGAGCAAATATTCTGCGAGATTCAGCAGGCAATGTGAAGCTGGGTGACTTCGGTGCCAGCAAACGACTGCAGACCATCTGTCTGTCTGGTACAGGAATGAAGTCTGTCACAGGAACTCCGTACTGGATGAGTCCAGAAGTTATCAGTGGAGAAGGGTACGGCAGAAAAGCAGATATCTGGTATGTTACAAAACTTCTCTAACAAAACTCGTGATGATTTCAGGATGGGCGGTTTCTCAGCATAATGTGAGCGTTTGTCATCTGAAGTTGAAGTGTTTTATTCTGGGGTTTAAGCTGAAGAAGATAACACACGAGAGCACTGGCAACCACATGAGTGCATTTAGAGAGTGTAGCACTGAAATCTTGGGTTTGTTGCTGCAGCAGTTCGTGAGCCTGTTGGTTTAGCAATCACAAGAGTATTCTTTGAACCAACCTTGCATGAAGGTCTGTGTCAGCTGCTGAGCACTGAGATGTCAATGAGACTAGTGGCAGTGCCTTCACACAACCATTAGTGCCTGGATAAATACCTCGTTAGCTCTTCACTGAGGTACTAGCTTTTGGCCCAGTGAGGCTATGCGTTGGAGATGCACAGACAGTGATTTGCTGAACGCTGTGATAGCGGATAGCTGCTTTCAAAGTTGCATTGTAGAGATGAGTGAACACTGCTTCCTTGTGGTACTTCAGAAGCTACTTGATATTTCCTGTGTTCCTACAAGAGCATGACTCTGTTGTAACCTGCTGTCTTGCTTTTGCCTCTGTTTCAGGAGCGTAGGTTGTACAGTGGTAGAAATGCTCACTGAGAAGCCCCCATGGGCAGAATTTGAAGCAATGGCTGCCATCTTTAAGATTGCCACTCAGCCAACCAATCCCCAGTTACCACCTCATGTCTCAGACCATGCTCGGGATTTCCTGAAAAGGATTTTTATCGAGGCCAAGCTGCGACCATTTGCAGATGAACTGCTAAGACACACATTTGCACACTATCACTAACAGCCTGCCTCAACTCAGCTTGCGTCTGCTGCATTTATTTTCTATTTGACTGCACTTTTATTTTTTATTTTTTACAAAAAGGAGAAAAAAGACAAGAGAGAGAACGTGTTCTCTTGAATCTTTGTTTCACTTAGATTGTAAACAATCTAAATTTTGTAACTAAAATGAGAATCTTCCCTTCCCTGCTCCCACCGGGACTAGAACTTCTTGTTTCTATAATGTACTGATGTGGTTCATGTAGATAAAGCACTTTAGTACACGTTTGTTCCTTATTTAAAGAGGGAAAAATAATAGAAATGATTGGACAGTCAGGAACTGCGTGACTTTTTTTCTGACACCGCTGACTGACTCAGGGTGCAGGGAAAAAGACACGCAGCCAGAGGACAAGAAGGTGCTCCTCTGTGATCGTTTGTTACGTTACAGGTACTTGCAGCAGAGAGTTCTAAGTTCTTATATTTTAGCAATTTAATGAGTTTCTGCATTGTGTAATTTAAGTGGGATCACGTGGTTCTGGGAGTTAATTATAAAGCTGGAAGAACTTGGAATTCTTTGTACGAAAGCGTGTCTTGACTGGTACTTCTGTGTGACCAAAAAGAAAATAACAGTAACAAAAAAGAACACTGATGAGATAAGTTCTAGAGCAAAATCTCTATCATATATTCTGAACAGGAAAAGAATTACAGGTAAACAGATGATGGACCCGATCCTAGGAACTGCTGTACTGCAAGGGGAATGTTTCCATAATAGAAAAGAGTCAGCTGTTGGATGTAAATATTTAGGAGAATGTCTCCTGCTGTATCTGCCAAAGAAAATCCTCTGTTACATACACTTGCAGGGAGACTATCATGTTAGATAAGAAATATTAGAGGTGTTGAGAGAGAATTCTCCTCCATGATGCCGTGAATGTCTGGGGGAAAGAGAGTGGCTGATCCTTCTGCAGTATGAGTTACACGATTCAGAACGATCCGTAGCAAACAACGCCTTCAAAGCTGTTGAGGGGCGCTAGGATGGAATGTATGTCAACATCAAGTGCCTAAAGAATATAAAATCCTTCCCCTTATGCACTGTAAGCATTGGTTTAGTAACACAGTTCAGTCATCTAGGATGTGTTAAAAATTCCTAAAATAAAATTGAACTTATTTTAGCACCAGGAATAAATCACAGAGAAGAAAGACCCTGCTTTATTTTTCATAAGGTAACGATGATCAAGGAGGCACAGCACAAAGCTGTGTGAAGGAGAGGCCCGAAGCACAGAGCCCCAGCAATCGAATAGCATGAGCGTGCTTAGTCCAGCCTGGTAACCCAGCTATTGGTGTTCTTCAGCTTTCCAACTGTCATGAATTCAACATTAATCAACTTTTTCTTTTTCTCAAAGAAAATAATAAAAGAACAAAGGAGAAACTCTGAATTGGAGCTTCTCAGTCGAGAAATGCTGGTACTGATCAGAGGTAGTTAGTAACTGAATTTTATAGCAGAAAAGTCAAACTTTCGTATTTCTGTGGAACACAACATAAGTAACTTAAAAAGGAATTTGGAAATAAACAATTGGACTACGGAACTGAGTTAATGTATACTGTTTGGATGATTCATTGTTTGCTTTTGCTTTATAAAAACAGACCAGGCTGAGACTGTGACCCTTGTCCACTCTGACAGGACCGCATTATTGTCCCCAGGCTCTGCTCTGTTTGACATCTTTAGGGGAATAGAAGAATTATGAAGTGCATGGAGGCAGAGTAGTAAATTTACCCACTCTCACTCTAATAAACTCATGGGAGTTCTGCAATTGTTCTGCTAACTTCCAAATTTGGTATGTGAGCTTAAGTAGGAATGTGAATCTATCCTAGCTGCTTTGCCTGTAGAGGAGGAAGAATGAGTTCTTGGCCGTCTCCTCCGTGGCTGAGTGGTGCTCTGTTCCATTTATTAGAGCTATCCCTGACTTCAACCTTTGTCTGTCAGGGGACACAACCATGCAAGGTTTTCCGAGTGTGGAAAGACAATCCTGACCAGGGAAGATTTAGAAAGCTGAAAGGAAAGTCTGCTTCTGCTGACTGACTGGATAAAAGCTATGAAAGCAGATTGTGGGAAGAATTTGTGCATGCTCTGCTGTAAAGGACCTTTGCTTTATAAACAACGTTTAATGAAAGCAATGGAGGGAGGTTTAACACAGGGCCTAGTTTATGTAGCTAATTTAAAGATCAGATAATTGAAATGATTACTTTCAAGCTGATCAGGAGGGTACCAAGACCAAGTTGAAAGTACATGGAGAGAAATCAGTTGTGGACAGTGATATCTGCAAAGGCAAGGAAACTCTGTATTACCGACAAAGGACTTTAAAGGGAAACAACCAGGTTTACCTGTAACATTCTGAACATTTCAAGATGCTCTTCTAAAAGGAAACTGCACTCTCTGAAGCTTGAAAATTTTCAGAATCCTCTTTTCTAATAGAGTCCTTTTTGTGAGACAGTGCTGGCTCATGTGTGTTGCAATATCACTTTCTCATGATCTTAATACTGAACAATCAAAGTCACTGCTTTTGTGCCTTGTCTAAAAGTGGCATTCAGTCATGACAGTGGTAAGCGTTTTGGAACCTGGAAAAAAAGAAAGAAAGAAAAAAAAAAACCGATTTGCAGAATGCATTTCTCTTGAAATATCCAAAAACTGCTGATGTGGAGACAGCACTTTTAAAATGAAGATGGCTTGTGGCAGTTCCAGCAGTTTTAGCACAATGTTACAAACTTAGCCAGAATTAGGCCTGAACTGTTTTATTTACCCTACTGACCTAAGAAACTTGCAGGAAATTGAGGTGATGATTACCATACATACTTTGAGCTAGGAGCTAAACCAGACTTTGACCAAGAGGTTTGCTAATACTCAGACCCTTGCATGTTGTACTTCAACACTGTTGCGCTGGGGTGATGTAGGAAGCCAGTTTGCATTAAATAATGTTATACATCTGTATGTGGTGTCTGCAAAACACTTCACTGACTACTGGCATGATAATGAACAAAACTTAATTCTGACATTTCTGAGGACGCGTGGAACGGCGTGCTTACAGCTCCGTTGGCAGAGGTTTGCAGAAACAAAATCCCTTCTCACCACTTCTGGTGTCTTACTAGTGAAGATAGCAGCATTTTAGAGTCCTCAGTTGTTCTTAGTTGTGAAGTCCAATAACCAGATAATGCCAGTGAAAGTGACACTGCTGCAGGGTTACGTTTTGCTTTTCTGTAAATGCTGTTGTGAAGCTGTGCTCCCCAAAAGTAAGAATCCAGGTTCACAGTGAGTGCAGAGGACTGACTGACCTGCTGAGGAGTTTTGGTATCGTGTCTCACATATTAAGGAACAAAAGTTCAGCTGTTTCTCTAATATTGCTTTACTGGTGTAACTGTCAGTCCTGTCAAACTAACTGTGCTGGTAGAGCGGGACTGAAAGCTTCAGTCATATCACAGCAAATTGTTGCATTTTTAATTTGGGTGATGGAAATATCTGTGCCAGGGCTTACTAGATCCATATCTTGTTAAGTGAATAGGTAAATGTACATCGACTTCTTCTGTTGACAGCTTAGTCTTTATTAGCTTGATTTGCAGTTCTCATTGTAGCTTAACAGCCTTTTCAGTGTAACAGAATGGAAAGTTACTACTTTTCTCAGCTTTTCCCAGTTGAAGTTGGGCTTTGATGATCCTTACAGGTCCCTTCCAACTCAAATGATTCTATGATTCTACGATTCAGCTGTATGCCTTAATTGTATCCATATTGTAATATCACATCGATATGCTATGGCTGTCATACAATTCTGTGTCACCAAATCGGTGTTAGAGAATACCCTGAAGTGCCTCAAGCAGGTTTCCCTTAACTGTGTTGGAAAGCATGCTTTAGTTATCACTGCATCAGACTTCTAAATTGAGAACTTTTAAAAGCGTTTTTTGGAGTGCTTCCAACTCGAGCACAGGTTTCAGATGGGCACGTTGGAGGCTGTAGACTGCTATGCAGACCAGAAAATGACTTTTCTCTAGCTTACAGCAGTGCTGTCACAGCTGGGATTCGGCCTTCCAGCTCTGGGTACCAGACTCTGGTTTTCCTCTGGACTTCATAGTGGATGTGAAACTATAGCTGGTACATCTGTAAATGTGGTGCTGTATTAATGGCTGTCTACTTTTGGTGCACAGGAGCATTATCTGCCTAAGCAAATCAACAGATCTCTCAGCGAGGCTGATGTTGTCCTACTAAATTACTGCCCGTTTCTTTTTGGATGATGCCAATCCTGCCGTTGTCCTGACTGAAAGCCGCCTTGCAGCGCCCATGGGTGCATGCAGCAGGTGTAGCTGGCAGACAGTAGCAGACAGCACAAAGCAGTGTGTGACTGCAGCTTCAGAGACTTGAGCAAATTGGTCAGAGATACAGTTAGTTATTAGTTTTAAATCTTTAAAATCTGTCCTGCGTATAGAAAAGCGTAACTTGTGTGCTGTAGTGTGAGTCCATAACGGTGTTTCTGGAAAAGCAAAGTATTACTGCCAGGGCTATTTCCTCCTGCTGGTAACTTACTGTCTTGTGTCAATGACAAGTCTGTAGTGTACAACCATATAGGATTACCAAAGCTTTTCTATTCCCATAGACAGAGTCACAAGTGACAGTCCATGGGTTAGTACTGCTACTTGTGGGCACGCATATATCCACCAGGTACTGGTACACAGTGACAGACACTTCCATATTTAAAAGATTGGTGTTAGATGCTGCTTTGGTGTGCAAAATTCACGCACCGTTAAAATCAAGGGTTTGGTGTGGTGGGTTTTTTTTTTCCTTTTTTCTTTTTAAACTCTTTTTAAATTAATCATATTGTTGTTATTCTGAAAGAAATGGATGAGAGGGGTGACTAAACCTGCAGGCTGTGACCTGCACTGCTGTGTGCCACAGCATCTCTGAGCTGCTGGGAAGCAGCCTTACATGAGATCCAGATGTCACCCACAGCCACATGGGTGCGGGGGCAGAACTGCCACCAAGCTGGCTTCTAAATCAATACTCTTGATCAGGAACAAAGCAACTCCTTTCTCTTTTTATTTTCCCCACTTGGCCTTCCTAATTGGCGTGACTTAACACTGCTGCGTGGTGGCCACTGAAAGCTCCCAAGGAGGCTTTGAGCCAACCTGCAGCTTGTGCGCCCGGCCCGTGCCTCATCCTGCAGCTGCAGTGAGGAGCCGTGCTGTGCAGGGCTGCAGCTCCAGGGCAGGGCTGTGCAGGGCCCTGCTGCCCGGGGGTGGCAGTGCATGGGTTTGGTCTGTCAGAGGTACATCGTGTACTCTGGGGGCAGGCAGAATGGAGGAGGTCACATTTCTCATGTTCCAAAGGAGCAGTGCTAGCAGTCTCGCTTTGGCTAGACCTTAGGTTTTTGTGAACTTACCTTAAAGGGAGAGGAACTGGATTAATATACATGAAAATTGTATCTCATGGTTCAGTCCTTGCTCTGAGTCCAGTGATGAGGAGTGGAGGTCAGGGCCCCTGTCGGAAGATACGAGGACACTTCACTCCAAAGTGGATACTCCCAGGAAACACTTCAGAGGTTTCTCTTACTCCAATCACAGCCCATCCTTTTCCTGAAAGGTTATCCCACGTGGGTTTAAAAACGAGGGTTATGTTTTGGCTGCTGAGCAGGCGGTAGGCTGTCAGTTCCCAGTGTTGGTTTCTCATCCTACCAGCTTACAGTTGGTATCAGCCCTCCAGTCCCACAGTCCATTACAGCCTCACCTCTGTCATCTCAGCCCTCCCGCAGTCATACGATGGAGAATCACTGTAAATACATGGAGGAGACGTAGATCAGTCGGAACGTAGACTTTGTTTTCATGAAGCTATGAATAAAACTTTGTAAATTTCTCTTGTACATTTTTACGTAGCCATTAAATTCTCTATTTAATCTATCAGTTTCTCACTGTAAATGTTTTTACTCTCAGTTGAATGCTGGGCACAGTTTGTAATGTATGTACACAAAGGTGTTTTTTTCTATCAACGTTGACTTTTTTGCACATTTTTGGAACTATTTAATTTGTACACTGATTTACTACTCTGACCAATTGTGGATGGGTGCGTGCGATCCACGTGTGTGTGCAATGTACTACTGCTGGGTGGGGGGGTTTGCTTTGACTCCGGACACGTCGCTGTCAGTAACGGCATTGCTGGTGCAGCTTTCCGTGGAGCCTTGTGTGTGAAAGCGGGATCTTAAAGGAGGGCCGTGCAGTTCCCCGGCTGGGCGCCTCGCAGCGCTGCCGCCGGGTTTCCTTGTGCCACGGCTGCTGAATTTGAACGGAAGCCCCGAGCCCTGTAATTGTGTATGCATTGAATGTGTGTGTATATATCCCCGTGATCTTATTCCACAGTTTCATTTCTACATTTTTATGAACTTGTTTTTTAAGGGTACTATGTTTAGTTAGAATAATTAAATATATAAAAGCTTTGAGAGATAATTTACTAGATAAATATATTTTCAGCTGGCTGATGTTCAAAATATTTTTTTAATTTTTTGTTTTTAACCATTCAAAATGTATTTGTATTTCCGAAATCAGACACGAATTGTACTTAGAAATATATTAAAACACGCTGTAGGGACAACGGTGTCGGCACTCCTGTCTTTTGTACCCAGGCCGCCCTCCGCCCCGCCCCTCGCCGCCCTTCTCGCCGCTCCTTCCCATCGCGCCGTCGCGCCGCGCGGCGGAAGTGACGCAACGTCCTCCGGTCGCCGCCGTTCAGCCGGGAGCGGCGCGGCGGCCATGGGCAGGAAGGAGCGGGGTGAGCGCGGCAGGGCGGGGAAGGGAAGAGAAGGGGGGCCGGGGCCGTGCCCGCCGCGGGGCGGGGGTTGGCGGGCGGTGCGCGGCTCTAACGCCGCGGTGTGCCGCAGACAAGAAGAAGTCCAAGAAGCGGCACTACGAGGACGAGGAGGAGGAGGAGGATGACGCTCCCGGGAAGGACTCGCAGGAGGCCGTGCCCTCGGCGGCGGGGAAGCAGGTGGAGGACAGCGGCGCCAAGCTGGACGAGTACGGCGCCAAGGACTACCGGCTGCAGATGCCGCTGAAGGCCGACAACGCCTCGCGGCCGCTCTGGGTGGTACGTGCGGCGCGGCGGTGGGGCGGCCGCGTGCGGGGGAACGGCCGTGGGGCGGGCTGGGCTTCACCGTGATTTGCGTAGGACGAAAAGGGCGCCCGTGCCTTTGTTGGCGTGTGCGAAGTGAGGCCGGCAGAACGGGCGCAGTTAGGCGAGGCGGCTGGCCGTAACACGGGGTGCTGACCCGGGCTGTGTCAGCCCGGACGCGTTGAGCTTTGTTGCCATAGAAGGAACGCAGACGAACCCGCGTCTGGTCCCGTTTAGAAGACGACTTGTGTCTTCCTGTGGCTGTGCCGGCACCTCTGGTCTGCTTGTGCCGTCTGCCGTCATCGATGCGCTCCGTCGGCATGAGCAGGCCAGTGCCATGTACTGGATGCACACCCCAAGTCTCGCTGCCTGTTTGGGCTTTCTTGTTAGGTCGGCCCTTTTTCAGTAAGATTACCGTTTCTCTTTTCTTTGTTATCTCATTGTTAAGGCAGATGCCTTAAGTTTCAGCGCTGGATGAAACCCAGCGGTAAATTACCACCTAAATAGAGGAGTCCATATCGCAATGGCTGCGTTGTAGGAAAATCCTGATTTTCTTCAGCTAACACTGGCACACCTTCTGTGTTTCCTTGTGTTTCTGTAGGCTCCTGATGGCCATATTTTCCTGGAAGCCTTTTCTCCTGTTTACAAATATGCACAGGATTTTTTGGTTGCCATTGCTGAACCTGTGTGCAGACCGACCCACATCCACGAGTACAAACTGACTGCTTACTCCCTGTATGCCGCTGTCAGCGTCGGCCTGCAGACCAGTGATATCACAGAGTACCTGCAGAAACTGAGCAAGACCGGTGTGCCAGAGGGAATCATTCAGTTCATCAAGGTAGGTCTGTGTTGTTGTATTGCAAAGCCCTCTGATGTCCTTATCTGCTGTATCTGCATTACTGCTATATTTTTATATACATCTTTTTTTTACTCGGTGTTTTTACCGTCTTACTCTATTCTATCATACTGTTGCAAGAGAGCAGAGACTTCATCTTACTTTTTCCCTTTTTCTGTTGCATATAGCTCCATAAAAATTGGTGCATTCTGAAAGTTTTTCTTCGAGGTTGTTCCATAAGCAAAACAGCACTGCAAATAAACGAAGATGCGGCGTGTTCTTACAAGAAACTGAATTGCACCCAAACCTAGAATCACTCTTTTGGCTTTTCCTAATGACTGCTGTTGTCTGTTTGCAGCTGTGTACCGTCAGCTATGGGAAGGTGAAGCTGGTGCTGAAACGCAACAGGTAGGCTGTGTTTGCCATAGATGGTGTTAAAGAAGTGACCTTCCAAAATCTGCTTGAGAGTAGCCCTGCTGAGGAGAATGTAGGGGTCCTGGCAGATGGAAAACCTAGCATGAGCCAGCAGTGTGTGTTTGCTGCATGGAAGGCCAGTGAGATATCCAGGGCTGCAAGAGAAAGGGGTGCACGGAACAGGGGTGACCAGCAGGGTGAGGGGGTGATTGTCCTTGTGAGGCCCCATCTGAAGTAAAATGTCCAGGTCTAGGGCCTCCAACCCAGGGATGATGTCAGGCTTTTGAAGAGGGTCCAGAGGAGGGCCACAAAGATGTCCACTGTGCTGGAGCACCTCTCCTGTGAAGACGGCCTGAAGGAGCTGGGCTTTTTTAGTCAGGAGAAGAGAAGGCTGCAGGCAGAGCTCATTACAGCCTTCCAGTATTTAAAGGGAGATCATAAACAAAAGAGAAATCAACTTTTTACATGGGTAGATGGCGGTTGGACAAGGGGGAAAGGTTTTAAACTGGAGGAGGGAAGATTGATAATGTGAAAATCTGCAGTGCTTTTGAAGTGAGGCACCTCTTAAAATTTTTGATGGTTCTAATTTGTTTATTTTTAAATTACCGCCCCCAAAGTGGGATACATGCGAGTGTATCTGGGCCTGTTATACATCTGAGCACTCACTGCTTTTTACTGTAAATTCTTGTCTTAATTAGTTCATAGAGATGTGGGGTTTTTGTTCTTGTAGGTATTTTGTGGAAAGCACCCATCCTGATGTCATTCAGCAACTCCTGCAAGACCACGTTATTAAAGACTGTCGCCTGAGAAATGCTGAAGGTGAAGAAACAGAGCTCATTACAGAGACGTTCACAAGTAAATCAGCGGTATGTATGGCATGCTTTAGAATGATGGAGTTAACATCAGGTAAGCTGTTGTGTAGCTTGGAGTCGTTACTGTACGTCAGTCATGTCAGCAGTTTTCAGTTTTGTCAGCCATGCTCTGCCTTGTTAATTAGCCCCATTCCAATGAGTGCTTGGGGGGAGCATCTCTAGTGAACCTTTCGGTGGAAGTTCCTTTTGTCTTTTTCAGATTTCCAAGTCCAGTGAGAGCAGCTTTGGTCCCTCGACATCACAAGAAGCAGATGTTCAAAACAAGCCGGATGTCCCAGCTGACTTATATGAGTTTTATGAGCAGATGGACAAAGATGAGGAGGAGGAGGAAGAAACACAGACAGTATCTTTTGAAGTCAAGCAGGCATGAACGCTTTACTCTCTTAGCATTTGCAGCTTTAGGGGATGTGCCCTGGACTCAAATAAGCATGAAGAGATAACTTAAAGTCTAGTATAGGTTCCTTGTTTAATGTGGGTCACTGGAAGTCAGTGATGCTTCTTTCCTTTTGCCTTCCAAAATCTTGGGATATTCCTTCCCAGTACACAGCGAGCAGACTGCAGAATGTTCCTTCTCTGCCCACAGAGTGTAGTGGCTCACAAGCTAGAGAGGTTTCAGAAGCTAAAGGGGGATCTGTTTGTGCTCACCTTGATTCTGCTTTGTGCAGGACTCATGAGAGTTCAGTGGAGAGTGAATCTGTTAGTTTCAGAACTTTTTTTCCTCACAATTGATATTTACAGAAGAAACTCTTGGTGGCTCTGTTTTCCTAGCTTGAGAAGCTGGAGGTTAGAGTGCAGTCCTGACTTGGCCTTCAGAGAGCTTTTGTAAAGCTTGTCTTGTTGCTGCCTGGACTTGGTGATTCTAGCGAGGCTTTTCTGGGGAAAACAGAAGTAATAAAAAGAGAACTTTTTAATAACCAGAGAAGTAATTGAGAACTGGAAACAGTTTTTGGTGATTGAATCAACTTGTCATGGTGATGGAATAACTGTGTTGTCATGGTATGAAGCTTTTTCCTATAACAGGTGTGCAGATTCAGTAGGTCTTTCCATGTAGTACACAAGACCTTTTGTGTCTGCTATTGAGCTTTTTGTTGCGGGGCTTCAGAGTGTAGTTCAGTCACTGCCAGATAAAGAATGCATTTCAGATTAATGTGTCTTACACTTCCACTTGTCAAAATAGCTCTCCCTAGTACAGACTGTTATTTCAAATGTTGGAGCAGGGGGGTTCTTCAATAACAAAGTTATTGAAATGAACTTCAGCTCTTGCATACTTAGTGAGCATAAATGTTAAATGTGACTTTGACCTATTACTGCCTAATCAGTAATTGTTAAATTATGTAATAATAATTGAGATGTGGAGAATTTAGCACCTGAAGCTTTGTCTCCTCCTCAGGAGATGATTGAAGAACTCCAGAAGCGTTGTATCCAGCTGGACTACCCATTGCTGGCAGAATATGATTTCAGAAATGATTCTGTGAATCCTGATATTAATATAGATCTGAAACCTACAGCTGTTCTCAGACCCTATCAAGAGAAAAGCCTGAGGAAGATGTTTGGAAATGGGCGAGCCAGATCTGGTGTTATTGTCTTGCCATGTGGTAAATTACTGCGTTGATTTTTTTATTTTTTTTAAGGGTTTTCTTCTTTAGAGATTTTGTTCTTTATTTGCCTGCAATAAAGTAACTTTCAAATCTGTCAGCTGCTTAGACTTCAGACTGTAACAGGGACTGGTCTGGGTAGGTGGAGGAGCTTGCGGTGCAAGCAAGAAGGTTGAGACAACTCCCAGAAAGCAATTAAAGAGGGAGAGAATGGGAGACTGCTTATGGCAGTGCAGGAGGCACCAGGAGGGCCTGAAAGAGTGCATAAGGGATGTTGGAGGAGATGTGAAAGAGGAACGGAAACACGTAAGGACTTGCTATGTGGTGTAGTGTACATAGCTTGCAGGGCAAGTATGGGGGAGATGGCCTCTAGTAGAAGCTTTCTGTAGCCACCTGGAATTTATCCTGTATTTGAAATGAAGAAAACAATATGATTGCTTCTAACTGGCAAAAGAAATGTTGGAAGTGATTTTCTTAAGAAAGCAGCTTGTAGTAGGCAATCCAGCTGTTTTTATACAAGTAGACAATCAATTTCCTTAAGACTACTCTAGTAAAGAAGCAGTGAAGACTGCACTTATGTGATTTCATGTCCTCTCGCACATCTCCTATTGTCCTTCACTCTTTTTCCATCTATTCCAATGATATCTGTGAGATAAATAGTGAATATCACTCCTTCCACAGGTGCTGGCAAGTCTCTAGTTGGAGTGACAGCTGCGTGTACCGTGCGCAAGAGGTGCCTGGTCCTGGGTAATTCTGCAGTGTCTGTGGAGCAGTGGAAAGCGCAGTTCAAGATGTGGTCCACCATCGACGACAGTCAGATCTGTCGCTTCACCTCTGATGCCAAAGATAAGCCCATTGATTGCTCTATTGCTATCAGCACGTATTCCATGTTGGGACACACGACTAAGAGATCCTGGGAAGCAGAAAGAGTGATGGAGTGGCTTAAAAGTCGAGAATGGGGCCTTATGATACTCGATGAAGTACATACTATCCCTGGTAAGGAAACGGTGTGCAGGCTCTTATGCTGTATGCACTGGTAATGTTGCTTCTCTCTGTAAAAGCTTGTGGGGTTGTGTATGGGAACTGCTGAACCACGGCCTGAACCTCTGGTTGATCACCTGAGGCGAGCACTGAGTCAGCCCTGGGAGCACAGGTGAAGGCAATTCAGCTGTGCTGCCGGAAGGGGTGGAGCCTGGCTGCACCTCTCCTAGAGCCATTTAAGAGCTGGCTACCAGTGGGGAAGGATCTCTGCTGGAGATCCCTCTGGAGTTTTGCAAGAAAGCCCAGGATGTAGGTAAGCATTCTATACTCTTTTTGTTATTATAACCTGCTTAGCCAAACTCTCTTGTTTATTTTGTAGTTATAGCATCTTTATATTCATTGATTATACAGGCTGTTGGCTTGCTCATGTTTAATCCAGTTGGTAAACCCAAGGCATAGGGTTTTGAGACAAACAAGTAAACTGCCATTTTTCCCCACTCCCCTGCCCAGCGTTGTGGAGTTTAACTGACCTTTGATTTTTCTTGTTTGTTTTCTTGAAACCTTTCTGAAGTTCTGTTGTTCTCTACAGTGGCAGTAGAAAATACGAGTGGCCTTCTCCTTTTGTGCAGGTTGATAAAGTGCTTGAGAGGGCACACAAATTAAATGTGTGTAATTTTGCTGTGGACAGATTTGTTTGCAGATGGTAGCGCTCTCTTTGGGAACAGGACAGAGTTAATCTGCCATCTTTGGTTTTGAGATGCAATTGCACTGTGGGCTTGGGTGTTACTGTCTATTTCTAGTCCATAAAATTTGAGTAACTGCAATAGTAACTGTCCAGAAATAGCTGTTGTAGTTGAAGACTATTGGAAAGCAGTAATGTGGTATTAAAGCATCTGTGGAGTTATCCTGGTGAAGTGTACCACCCAGATTCTGTCAGCTGTTCTATATTGCTGTTGTTTAGATTTGAGTATGATTTGGTCTGTACTGAAATGATAGATTTCTGGGATGGGCTTTGATTAACAAAGCAGCACGTTGCTGGCACGCTTCTTCCACATTTCTTTGTGTCATAAAAATTAAGGTATAATTTCTTCTATGCCTGCAATCACAGGATTTGAAACTATACTAAAGATAAATAATTCTGCCTTATGTTGGTCCTGAACGTAACCAAGTCAGCCAAGAGTACTCGTGTTATCTGTCTTTTTATGAAATGCTACGTGGCTAAGATAAGTCACATAACCTCATCTCTATTACTTTTGGGGTACAGGAAGTAATACAAATGTAAAAGGTTGGAAGGGTTTTTTAGAGTACACTGAGGTGCAAACAAAGGCTGAAATCAATGTGAAGTTTTGCTGGGCCACAGAATACTGTTAGAAGTGTATGTAAAATGGGATGACAATTCCTAAGACCATGCTTGCTTTGTGTGTGGGAGTTTGTGATTTATTTATTTTCTTAATATGTGACATTGCAGTACTTGTATTCTAAATCCATTCAGGAAAATAAACAGAAAGTGTGTTTTGTGTTTCTTAGCAAAAATGTTCAGACGTGTGCTCACTATTGTACAAGCTCATTGTAAACTGGGACTGACTGCTACCCTGGTCAGAGAAGATGATAAAATTGTTGATCTGAACTTCCTGATTGGACCAAAGCTTTATGAGGCCAACTGGATGGAGCTGCAGAACAGTGGCTACATTGCTAAAGTCCAGTGTGCTGAGGTGATGTTCTGCTTTTCAGTACTACTGGTGTATATTTAGCATGCTTATAGCTTTTCTAGCTTTTTTATTTTTATTTTTTTTTTTTTTTTTTTTTTTTTTTTTTTGAAGAACTGTAAGTATTGAACTGTGAGCAGGAGGTACCCTGTTGGCTTTTCACTTAGTAGCTCATGAAGGGCTGTCAGTAGGCAGTATGAACGTGCTGCAATCCTGTAGATGTCTTCAGCATTGTTTCTCTTTTTGGGGGGTTGTGGTGCTTGATGAGTTCTCTCTAATTTAGCATTTGCAGAGAAAAAAACAACCAGCAGCTGCAGTGTTGTAGACTTACTCTGATGCAGCTGGCATTTGCATTGATTTGATTTTGTGTTTTAAGCTCAGTTCCGTGTGACAGCATTGGTCAAACGGTATTCTTGAAGCTGCTGCTGAGAGACTTCAGCTGGTATTCTGTAGTCTTTCTTGAAAAAAATTCTTGTAACTATTAAAACAAAGAAGGATAGCAGGAAGCTTAAAAATGAAGACGATGCCTGCTTATTTCAAGCCTTAAGGCCTCAGGATGAAAACAGAAAACGTGGCTCTAGATCTTGCTATTTCTTTCCAATGTAATCATGTGTGATTACAATGTTTGATTCCAATGTAATCACGTGTGAGCTCTTCTTTCCAGCAAATGGATGAGATGAAAACCTAATGTCACATAAGTGGGAACATGGGAACATTTCACCCAGGCATGCTAGAATGTTGGAAATAGCTTTCTGGGACAGACTGAAGGTCTGGCCTATTCCATTGTCTGTGATAATTTTTAAGAGCACAGAGCAAATTGGGTCATTATACAAAATCATACAGATTGTCACCTGTGTGAATGGATTTTTGCTGAGCATCTTTTTAACTGAGGAGTAATTATGAGAGGCCTTTTTAAATCTTATTTGTTAAATTTGTACTGTGTGATTACTATGTTAGAAGAAGCCACATACAGAACAAACATATGTAATTTAGATGAAATTATGCATGTTGTTATGACGTGCTGTAGTGTCATTGCATTTGCATAAAGTTCATAATTTCTTATATTTTCAATCTCTACTGTGAAGAAAAATTATCACAGTGACTGAATCTGTGCAGTGCTGTGATATATATGTCAGCTCAAGCACAATGTATGATACTGTGCAGATAAAGCCATTGGAAACTTCTAATAAATTCTGTTTTGAAAGATGTAGGCTGGAGATGTCTTAAAGCTGATTATATACGAGGAAAGGATTGGTAAATGTGTTCTGTAATGAGAACTAAGTATATCTAGGTTTTCAGAACATGGATGAAAAAATGAATTTTTAGGGCAAAGGCCTTGACTGCAGTGACAGAAATATTGCACGGTTAATTCCTTTAATTCTACTTCTGTAAAGCGTAGTAGCATTCAGTGAAACTATCAGATTTTAAACAAAGGACTTCTGTGTCCTGTTCCAATCCCACTGCCTGTTTGTCGTGGATCTCGCTGCCCCAGCGTTTTGGAAGATGATGATATTAGTGAGGTAAAAAGAGTTAGTGGTTCTAGAGGCTAGACCAGTCAGTACTTCATTTTAATACAGAAATAAATCACGTTAGGATTTGTGGCCTCTGCTGCATAGGAAGGTATAATGCATTATTATCCCCTAATATTGTTTAAATTCTTACTGGAGTTAAATAGATAACTGGCATTTACTCAGTGTGTATTCTCTAATTCTAGGTTTGGTGCCCAATGTCACCTGAATTTTATAGAGAATACGTAGCAATCAAAACAAAGAAACGGATACTGCTGTACACCATGAACCCAAATAAGTTCAGAGCTTGCCAGTTCCTGATTAAGTTTCATGAGCGGCGGAATGATAAAATCATTGTTTTTGCTGACAACGTGTTTGCACTGAAGGAGTACGCAATCAGACTTGGGAAGTGAGTGCTCACAACTAATGATGCTGCTGTTGCTTTCTTCCTCCTTGGAAAGTTAACTTGTAATCTTACAGATCTCAGTAACCTCCAGACATTTGTTGTAATACTTCAACTACAATTCTCATGTAGGAGGAGTTCAGGAAACCACTCTTTGGATGGATTTTATGGGCATTGAAAATTCATTCCATTGTAGAACTGTTTGAGAAGAGTCTCTGTTTAGCACTTGGCTCAGAGGAGTCTTCATCCAAGTTTTCTATGAATAACTTTGTATTTCTCCATTTTTTTTAATTGCTGTTGAAAGCCGCTTGGCAAAACTGGGGAGCCTTAAAAAATCTTTCCAGAACTATTTGTGTAATGGACTGTAGCTTCTCTCCTGTCTCTCTGACAGGAATGTTTTCAAATGTGCGCTTGGGATCTTTCAAGATCAGCAATCCTATGTGTCAATAAAATTATCTCAAGTACAGTTTGCTGAGAGGTTGACCTCAATGTGTTTGAATGGCTTGGGAAGGGATGACCAGGGAGAATGTTTGCAAGGATCAGGCATACAGCAATTCCTTGGGGAAAATAAGCATTAGAAGCTGGCCTCGTGCTTTCTGTGTCAAGCTCAAATAATGTGTTGATGACTGGAAGCTGCGGGGCATTTTGTCTGTGTGATTTAATGTCTAGGAATTTTGACAGTACTCAGCAGAACTGCAAACAAATGTTTTTGCACTTTCTAAAATTAATGATCACTTTTCACTATAGTTTAATGGCCATGTTGTTTTGGCTTGCTGTGCATCAAATAGCAGAGCTAGTAGTTCTGGATGAATTCCAACACCTGTGGTCTCTTTCATCATTTTTTTTTTTTTAAATCTGTCTGGACAGAGATTAGCTGTAATGATGCCTCTGGAATGTTGCTAGCAGTGTGCAGCGCACCGCAGAACAAGAGCCTTTAACAAAGGCACATGCCTAGAAGGGGTGCTCGCAAAGTAGCCCTCATGGTTTATAAGTGTGGAAGATGCTGTCGAAGTACAAGCAGGCAAGAGAACTGTGTGAACATCAGGTGCTTGTTTTTCACATTCTTGACTCAATTCTCCTTCCCACATGATGTGGATGGATCTCCAGTTCATACAGCTGTAATAGCTGAGGGAAAGAGGGGTTGCAGTGCTACGTGAAACAGAACATTTTAAACAGGAAGTTCTCGAATTGTAGTTTGTCATGGGCATGCTCAGAGTTGGCTGTAGGCATAAACAGGGGCTGCTAGTTTGGGTGTGACATGAATGATGGGTCTGTGTAGGAGGGAGAAGCCCAGTGGGTGCTGCAGCAGTAGCCCAGGCTGTGCCTGGCTGTGCTGGCTCAGCAGGTTGGTTCCACTGCCTGGCTCAAGTGTGTGGGGCAGGTGGGCTCCCAGTGGAGGGGAATTGGCACTCTCTGGTGGCTGCTGCTGCACCAGCTCCTCTTCTACCCCGTTTCATTCCCTTGCTACCAGCAGGGAACAGGACATGCATGTGACAGAAATTATTTTTGCCTTTAACTTTGGAGGCCTCAGAACTCAAATTTCTTAAGCCAGTTTTTACTCTGTCCGAAGTCTGTCATCCAGAGTCATGTAGCTTGTGCTGCTTTTTTCTTTGGTGCTATTAATATGTTTAAATCACTGTGTAACGAGCTCCCTGCTATGATATCTTGGTGCCTGTTAATAAATGAGAAATTTTGAATTAGTTTAATTTGCATATGGTCTGTTTGTTTTTTTTCAGACCGTACATATATGGTCCCACTGCACAAGGAGAAAGAATGCAAATTCTACAAAACTTCAAGCACAATCCAAAAATCAACACTATTTTCATTTCAAAGGTGAGGATGTAGTATGTTGTTGTACTCGTCTTCAGAGTGCTCCTTATATAGGAACAAAGTTGTACATGCACGTTGGGCATTTGACATTATTGCAACTAATAAAGGTGCACTTTGTACAGAGTTGTTACTGATACATGGCAATCAGATGCTGCTTCTCTGTGGTAGGTGGGTGACACATCCTTTGATCTGCCTGAAGCCAATGTTCTGATTCAGATTTCATCCCACGGTGGATCTCGAAGACAGGAGGCTCAAAGGCTGGGGCGAGTACTGAGAGCCAAAAAAGGTGAGGTAGTGCTTGGGCTCTGCTTGTTAGAGCACGGTATGGCATTCAGATAACTGCTCAGCTGTTTGGAATACTGGAACATAGACTGAATAAATGGCAGTATCATGATGAAGAAGGTAGTTTAAGATCCCGTGTGAGAGAAGTGTTGGGGTTTTCTTGTAATAATGTGGATGCTGTTCTGTTTGTCATTTGCAGAATCTCTTCTTTCTTTTCTCTGTTCTTTTTAGTCAGAAATGAATACTTTCTTGCATTTTCCTTGCCTTCCTGTTATGGTGGTTTACTATGCCAAAATAGCATTGTTTCCCCTTTCTGTTTTAAGAACTTACGCTCAGCTATGTCAAATCTGCGTAGTATTACTAGAAGCATTCAGTGTTCCAAGAGCCTGAATACCCAGTGATGGGTTTCTTTTTTTCCTCCAGACTTGTGAATTTGTATATACTATGTTACAATAAATCTAACATTGTTTCTATGAGGTATTTCTCTCCTCTAATGCTTGTTTTGTTAAAGTTGAGTAGTTGCTGAATGTTTATTAAAGTGGAGGTTGTAGGAAGCTTTATCACTAACAGGAGCAGGAATCCTGTCCATCCATACCAAAGTGTAAATGGAGTGCTGTAGCATTCACTTCCTACCCAAAGACTGTCAAAATCATGTTTATATTATCAGATTGAATAGTTCATCAGGTTTGTGCTGTTCCTCCCCTCATCCTCCAGTATATTTCTAGAGGTTAAATAAACTGTAGACTGAAAAGCTATTTGTTGCTCTGGCCTGGGGTATCTGTGGAGTTGCAGTGTCACTGTAGCTTCAGTGATGGTGAGCTTTGCTTTTTGTGGTATGTTCTGGACTCAGTGTGGAGATCACCTAGGAAAAAAAAACTGTCCAGTTGTACTGGCATTTTTTTCTCTGCTGGGTATGTATGTGAGTAGGATTAAAACTTACTGAGGGGTCAGGGATTTAGGAATTGCTTCATTGGTTTGAAATTCATCTGTGTTTCAGTTTGAAGAATGTGTGTAAGTGCTATTGGGATGCTTCTGTCACTTTGTCTTCTGACGTTTCTATTGGCCTTGAACTAAGGAGAATTGCTCTTAGGCAGAATTTGCTGGTTGACTTGATTAACTGAATGTTTCCTGAAAGACACTCACATAAGTCTGTTCTATTAACTGATAAATAGGAGATGTTTAATCTGCTCTAATCCCATTTATATCTTCTTGAGTCAAATTATGAAGTAGCTCAAGGTGAAATGGTTCTACTTCAAGAATTCTCTCGTTAAGGTAGTAAGAAGCTTGAAAATTGTTTGTGTCACAGCCTGTTGGCACTTAGTTCAGATAGAATGAGTATTCCCTAGGAAGTGGTCATACTTCAGAGGAAATTATTGGTAACTGTCAGGTGGAGAATAAAATTGCAGTGCTTCAGTTCTGTTGGTTGGTGGGTTTTTTGTTTGTTTTTTTTGTTTGATTAAAAAATGCACAGACCTTTTATCCTCCTTTTAATGCAAACAGATTGTGAACTTTGGCTTACATTGATAAATTTCCATTGTAATTTCTGTTTAACTTTTTTGACATCTATTACAATCTTTGTTCTTTTTACTGCTTGTTTGCAAACTATTATGTAAGTAACTTTTACTTTGTTTTGCGTGGTTAAGCAGCAAGTTGTCAGGATACCAGCATAACTGGGTTAGTCTAAATTTCCTTTTCCATTTAATTGAACTTATGCTCAAGTTATTATGAACGATAGTAGGGATTTCGGCGTGTTGTGCTTTGTCACTCAGTTTATGTAAGCTCAGGATGCAGCTTGTATTTTAAATAAACCTTACAAATTGATTTTGTGGAGAGAATTCTTATTGGAACACTATTTTTACAATTTAGTCCTCTTTTCTTCTTGGTTGTAGTAATCCAAATGGAACTAACCACTTGGTGGCTTTGTCTCCTAGGCATGGTTGCAGAGGAATACAATGCCTTTTTTTATTCTCTTGTATCCCAAGACACTCAGGAAATGGCATATTCAACCAAGCGACAACGGTTTCTTGTAGATCAAGGCTATAGCTTCAAGGTAATTAATCCATTCTTATTGTTAAACTATTGCCTGTGAATATAACTTTAACTCTTTCATTTTGTGGCTAGGTCAGATACTTGAGAATTACGGTTGAGAAATGTATTAATGAAGGTTTTGCTTGCAGGCAAAAAAAATTTCCTGCATTATTCTGTTAACTGTGTTACTGTGAAGATAGATACAACTATTTCAATACAGCCTTTAGGAAGGTAAGTATTCAATAAGGGCAGATCTGAAACTAATGCTTCCTATTCTATTATGTTGGTCCATAGCATCAGAGGTAGATATTGGTGGAATGGCAGCAAAGGCTGAATGTTCCCACCAGTACTCCATTACATGCTGTTGTGCGACAGATGGCAGCAGAGGGGCCGTCTGACAGAATAGTGCCTGCCATGGGAGTGCATATGAAGCAAAGCTGCTGCATATGGGAAGCAGGAAAATTTCCATGCAGGAAAAAATGGCACCCATGGACTTCATTGAGGCTTGCTGAACACTTATGGAGACTGAACAGTGGATGTGAGCACAGTGAGGTGGTGCATTTCAGCAGTGGTGACAGTGATGTGAAAGACAGTTGATGTTGCAGATGGCCGTGCACAGCAGTCACACCTCAGATTGCACAGGGTGAAAGCAAGCAGCCTCAACTGGACTGCACTTGAACCCAGCTGTTGAAGATCATTAGAGACACACGTGCATTTTGGGACATCTGTGTGGGTAAAACCTGTATGAACTGCAGGTACTCTGAATTAAACTGCTTTGTTATCATTGGCCCTGTTAAAGAGGAGGTCTTTCCATCAAAACAGACATGCCATAGGCTTTAAATGTAAAAACCTTGCTTTACTTTGTAGTGAGTGTATCTTCACAAAATTGTCAGTCAGTCACCTGCAGGTAGTTACAACAGATGAGTCTTTGTGGCTATAGCCAAGAAGATTAAAGAAATCCCTTTTTTATTTGCTTTTATTTGAATATAAATCTTGGATTATAGAGCTCAGTAAGGGGTTAAAATAGAGAAAGATGTTGTCCTAGGAGTTCGGACTTCATGGGCACAAAAGTGCAAATGGCAGCTGAATTTCTGGAGCAGAATTTTAGCTGACCAGTACTGGAATGTTCTTTATTTGAAGATTAGTAGCGAAATGTTAGAATATCTGTTTTCTTCTGTTTGCTGAACTTCAAGCTTTAGACATAGCTGGCGTTGAGCAACAGTAGGGTTGGAAGAAACTTGAAGAAACCATCTAATGTTTCTTCATTACAAGCCAGAATCAGCTGTGTATGTCATTCCCAGCTGATGTTTGCCTTCATGACTATTTCATCTTTAGGCAATTATTTCAGTGCTGGTGTCTTATCTTTTGGAATTTTTATTCCTGATACCTAACATTACTAAAAATTTGGTACTCTCTTAAAAGGGTAACAGTATGCATTTTTTTTTCTAGGACTTTCTTCTTTTCATCTATCAGTAGCTCATTTCTCTGCCTTCCAGCAGAAAGGGGATTATTCTAATTGCTGAATCACACCTTTTGTCTTTGCTTTTTTTATACAGCCTTGCCATCACTATTTGCTGCTTGGGGTCTAAATTATTTAGGAGTAGTTTGGTTAGCTACCTGAAGGTTAGTTACCATACTGTATACTTTTTTTGAGGTTGAATGCAGGGTAAATTGATGTTTAAATCAACAGCAGAAGAACTTAATGTATCAAATAATCTAATTACTTTAAACTTGGTGTCTGTTCAACATCTTAAAAATATTGTGATGCAGTGGAAATTATTTCTATTTCATGAAATATGCTAGCACTGTTTTGCAACAACTGTAAACATGCTAATGCAGTTCTTCCTGTGGTTCCATTTTGTTGTTTACGAAGTGCACGTGCTACGATCACCTCAAAAACAAGAGGAATCGTAGAGTTCATTTGTTTGTATAATAGGACAGGTTGCTTCCCTGAATAGATTCTTAGAACTACACATTTCTCAGAGAAATGCATTTTTCAACTTAGAAATTGCCACTGACAGCAGTGACGCTGCTGACATTTTGTTGCAGGTTGTTGTGCAGTCTCTCAGCTAATTGTGGGTGTTCCTAAATGTGAATGTTAAAACTCTTGGCATCAGGAAAGGTAACTGATTATTGTTCTGAAATATGAAGTCCTTTAGTGTAAAGTATATTCATGCAATATAAAGCACTACTTCTTAAACTGGACAAAACCTGAAGCTACAGCATGAAGTCAGCCTTCCAATAAGGTTCCTGGTCAAGCTGGCACGGAATTTGGTACACATTCTCTGTCTAGAGCTAATGCATTTCCAGCCTGAATGTTGCAGGAGATTATGAGGTGGGGGATAACTTGCACACGCACCATAACTGGTAACAGTTCAAAAACCCCCGCCTTGTATTGTGCTCTGTTTCTTAGGTAATAACAAAGCTTGCAGGCATGGAAGAGGAAGAGCTTTCATTTTCGTCCAAAGAAGAACAGCAGCAACTTCTTCAGAAAGTCCTACAAGCATCTGACCTAGATGCTGAGGAGGAGGTAGTTGCTGGAGAATATGGTTCAAAGTCAGTTCAGGTAATGAAAAATACTTTGAAAAGGATGACCACAAATGCAGTAGAACAAGAATGTTCCATTTTAATTCTGAATGTGATGCCAGCACTGATGCATTAGTGTTTTGGTTTTTTAAGCTGCATTAGCACTTGGCTAATTAATTCACTGATTTTCTCATGCCCAAAGGGCAGAAACTAAGAGGCCACTTTACATAAGGGTGAGTGGTAGGCAGTTACTTCCTTAGTAGAAATTCTCCTTTAAGGAAAATAAAAACCAACTTTGAAGGCATTTTGGTCTGAAGGTCTGTGGATGAGAGCTGGTCTGTCTAATCACCCACTGCAAGCATGTGTTTTTTCTCTCCGTACTTACAGATGTCACGCCGTGCAGGCACAATGAGCTCTATGTCAGGAGCAGATGATGCCGTTTATATGGAATATCACTCATCTCGGAGTAAGGCATCTTCCAATAAGCACATCCACCCGCTATTTAAGCGCTTCCGGAAATGACGGCCTTTGTGTGTGCATGCTATAAGAACTGTGCATCCATGTACCTCTCTCCATAACTAAAAGTATGGATTTGAGACTTCTGGCAGGTCCTCTAAAAGACGTCTTTGTGTGCATCTGTGTAACCACATTTTTGCTTAGCAGCATTTATGTTCTCGTGATTAAATGTGAAAGAAGATAAGGAACTAGATCTCATCATGGAGATGTATATTATCCAGTGACTGGATCCTGTTATACTTGTCTGGTTTTCAGTGTGATGAACAGATTTTATTTTTATTGGCTGAAGACACTTTTTCAGGTGAATTCTGAGAAGGTTTTGTATATGACGTTTGTACTGATATTAGAAATGTTATTTATCTGGTTACTGTCTACTTAGCAAAACATTGATGTTTAAACTGCTTAAATGAAAGTTATAAATGGAGTCCTGATAGGAGCACTTTACGTAATGTTTTTAAACTAGGACCTAGTTGGTAATCATGACTTAAATTGTTTTAAAATCCTAACAAATTGGTTGAAATATTTGGAAGTTCTAAGAGAAAGAAGGGCTCTGTCTTCGAAGTAAACTAGAGGAGAGCATTAGTAAGTACAAATAAACTCTGTGCTCCATTTCCTTTATTTTTGTTGCTACTGTTGAGAAGTTTCTGAAATAAAAGCTACTTCCCTTGTTATTTATGTACTGTTTATTAGTTACATAATAAAACCATAACTGCTGAACAGTGCGGTGTCACCATAGAAGTTACTGTTGGATCAAAGAGTGTTTTGTCTTGCCAGAGGGTGGCTAGGAGGCAAATGCATGAAGGAGAGATTCCTGCAGCTTTATTTGTAATGAAGTAAAGTAACTTAGTAGAAGACCTGTGAAGAGGTAAAGAGCACTTTTAAAAACAAACAAACAAAAAACCTTCAATTTAATACTGCAACAATTAGTTATACTAATTGTATTGTGGATTTTTTTCTTCTTTACCTTGCTGAGAGTTTATAGAGTTCTAGGAGCAACCTATCAAATAGCATGGATCTTGAGCTGTTGTTTCAAAATGGATTACTGTTTAAAAAAAAAATTAAAAAAAATTGCTCTACTGGAAGGAGTACGAATGGTAAAGCTATCCAAGTTATGTGACAGATGTGTTTCAGAAACAAATTGATTCTTTTTAGTATGAATCCACAGATGAAGAATATTTCTTGAATACAGTAGGCTGAGCTCAAAGCACACAGCACTTGTTTTCAGTTTCTGTATTAGAAATAATTTTGAAAATGAAACTGGTCTGATTCTGTTAAGGCTTTTGTTCTGTCCTCTGATATACCACGTAATGCCTGGTTCTTCTCTTTCTTGTTCTAGGTTTTTTGCCTCTCAAGTTGGGACTATTCACAACAATACCTGAGCATCTTAAAGGCAAAAGACTAATGGACAGTGTTCTAGCACTGATTTCCATTTCTCGGTTTTGAAGCATTATTTCCTTCTAATAATTCAGACAGGCTCTCATAGCAACAGTAAATGGAAAGAGTCTGGCAGTGGGACAGATGAGAAAGCCAGTAGCCCTCTGTGTAACTTTCTGTACCACACTTTATGAATAACTTTGGAACTCTTCTCCTTTCATCATAAACTGTGGAGGAGGAGAAAAGGAGAAGAACTGCTACATTTGGAAATGACTTGATAGCAATATTTGTTTTTATAACTGTTGCATTAGAAGCACTATAAGTTAAATAACAGTCTATGTGGGATGCAGTACTTCCAGCATTAAGCAAAGAAAAATAATTCTAAGAGGTAAGAATCCATGTTCCAGTAATGTTGTGTTGGTGTTCACAGTTTAGATGCAATAACTTGATGGAATTGCTGCAGTGATTACTCCATACAGATGATTGTGGCTGCAAGTGGCAAACAGATGTGCAGTTGCTCAGTATAAAACAGTTTCTGTCCTGTATCTATGCTGCAATATACTCAATTCTGCCTTCCAGACAGGAATCTGTTGCTGAGGAAAAACTGCTTGTTCCTCACTAACTGCACGGGCTAGCAGTTCTCTAAGGCATGACTCCCAATGCAGTGGGCACAATATACTGCTCCAGAATTAGTCTGCAATCCCAGTTCTGCAGGAAACGAAGCTATCTTGTCCAGCTACAAAACTCAGCACTGAATTTTGTCACACAGGTGTCTGTTTGAAGCAATATGATAGGTTGCATGATGCTTCACAGTAACTGCACAGTACCTGTGGTGGGCTCTCACTGCCCTGTGGCCTAAATCCCAAGAATCTGATCCCTGGAAGCTGCAAGTCAGGCACTCACGTTCTTTATCAAATGCTTACTGGCCGTTCATTGTGCAAATGGTTTGTCAGATTGCATGCTACAGAAACTAGAAACAACGTGGCTGAGAGCTCTGAGCTTGTCTTGAGGAAGCGTGTGAAGGAACCCTTTCTTTCTGCCATTGCGCTTCTGTATTTGTACTTTTCTGAGATGCTGCCTGTATCCCTGTAGGAGTATTCTGGCATAACAAAGTGCAATGCAGTTCATGGATCCTGATAAACCGTGGACATCTGGAAGTGATAAAGCTCCATGATATCCTGAATTCTCATTAAGTGGGGGACAAAATAACACAAATTTGTATAGCAAAACTGTTTTCAGACTGAGTGGTGGCAGAAGCAGGTGAACTTTAGGGTAAGCATATTACTTCTTGGAAGTCAGTGAATAGATGTGCAATTTCCTTGGATGTAATTCAGGTTACTCTGCTCCTGGTCACCTCCTTAGCTAGGCTGAATTCCAGACTGAGAAAGCTTCCACTTTCTAGCTTCTTCATGGAACTGTCATTCTTTTTTATAGTTCTTTGTGGTTTTGACAGTCTACAATACTGAAACTCATGTTTGTGCTCTTTATCCCCATGGCAAGTCAGCAACTGTCTGTTAAGGGATTAATGCTTGGAGAGTGCTGCTATTCATTAAAACGATTTTAAAGACTATAAGGGCACACTGATATTGGTGTTACACTTTCCAACAGCATTTCAGCTCTGCAAAGCACTGAAATAGATGCAGTTTCTATTTCTCTGTGGTTTCCTGTGCCCTCCTGATGCTCACAGTTTTTAGTGGAACCTACCTATGATGTGTTTAAGAACTTAAAAATGGGAATTGAAGGCAGCTATTCCGTGAGACAGGATAAGCATCTATACCTGGTACAAGAAATGTATAAGTAGAGCTGAATCACTTATTTATTGCAGTTGATTTATGGTTTTCTGCTTAAGCATTAAAGAGTAAATAATGCACAGAGCTATCAGATGCTGGGATGGGCTAGTTTGCTTGGATTTGTGAGTTCTTTTATACAATACTTGATTAAGACTTGAAATTAAAGTATGGTAGGTGAAATCAAAGAGAAGTAGTTTTCTTTTTTTCTTGTAAACTAAAGCTGCTTCATGAGTAAGTTACTATAAGCTCTGTTGTCACCTAACGCTCTGTTAAGTTCAAATTTGTCTTTTTTCAGGAAAAAGGATGGGAATTTGGTAAGCGTTTAAAATTCCAATGAAGTGATTTCACAACTTGAAAAGGTCTTTCAAAATACGCATTTAAGAGCAGTCAGAAGAAGCAAAACCCATGACTAATGGCATGGCTTTCTCAGTGAAAAGATATTTCAAATTACAATGAAACTTTTTTTTTGCTGAAATTTCTGACGTTTCAGTGCTTCAACTGTTCTTCCTTTTGAAATTTCTGCAGAGCCTATCTTTATAGCATTCGTTGAAGGTGTTACTTGGGCCAAGTTAAATGCCTCCCGGCAAATGCCTTTTGCTTTCATAACAGTGTTTAGATGCATTAGCTATTTGAGCACTGTGATGTCTTGTATGTAGTACAATATTTATAACACTGTTCAAATAATTACAAGGCAGGTACAGCCTAGGCTATTAAAGAATGAAATTAATTCTGAGAAAACAGAATTCCTGCTAAGACAATAATGTAACCACTGACTCTGCATAGCAAAGCTATTAGGACACAAAGAAAGCTTCAGATGAACTTTGTCAGAGTTCATGCGAAGAGGAGGGCAAGTTTAAATTGGATTTAGAAATAACTTAGTGAAGGTAACAAAGCACAGTTAATATGACCCCGCTAGGGGGTCTAGACTGAGAGAACAGGATGATTGTGGATTTCCAGGCAAGCTATCCTCCAATAATAATACACAATCTTAAGTTGTCAATAGTCAAGTTTAGTTTATACTGTGATCCCGTTACATACCAGAAGTTAACTGAAATTGAAACACATCTACTGTGAAAGAGGCATGTGCTCCAACTCGTTTGGAGTAATAAGTGTCCAAGCTGACTGGTTACATAAAACAATTTTTTAAAATCAGCAGACTGCTGATTTTAGCACAAAAGTCATTGTTTAAATGTAAAGAACTGCATATTCAAGTTTCTGTTCAGTCTGATGAATACATGTTCTGCAAGATTGTGGAAGTAGGAGAAAATGTTTATCTTCCAAGTCACATAAACGTGTTTTGGTTGGCTAGAGCTGACGGCATAACTTCTTCTTTACGGTTCAGTGGGCTTACGTGGATTGGAACAGCAAGTTTTATGTTACAGCTGCTGCATTCACTGTTTTTCGTGGGAATTCCTTGTTTCTCTGACACTACTGGACTTCTGGTACCTGGAACAAATCTGTAATTGTATTTCTAAGGAAAAGGGAACCAGACAATACACATCCTTCCACAAGCTTAGCTTTTACCCTAGGTTGTGTGAAATCTGCTGCTGCTTGCTCAAGTGTAGGTAAGTTTCATTCTTTTTGTCTTTTCTAGTCTACTCTAGGAGACTTATTTCAGCCTTGTCTGTCTCTTGGAGTAAAATCTGGGTTTTACTGATTATGTTGATTATTTAACATGCTGTAGTTGGTTGGTCTGACCTCCATCTTGAATTCTGCTGTAGTAAGAATGCAAAGTGTGGTGGTAAAGCAGCAAACAGTGATGCATGCATTAATAACTCTTATTTGAAAGTCAAACAGAACCACACGATTATCATCTGGCACAGCAAAGAGAAGAAAATAGTGTAATTACATATTCAGTGCTGTGGTAACCCACACAATTGTTCACGTTCGTAAGTATTCCGTTCCTGGTTTTCACTGTTTAACCATGGAGTAATTTGGCTATTACAATTCCAAGCATTATTTTTCAATAGTTTAGCTAGAAAAACAAAACTGCGTTTGCATTGATAGGTTACTACATCATTACTGATAATAATCAGTGACCAGGGGAGGTTCAGGTTGGATGTCAGGAAGAGGTTCTTCACTGACAGCGTGGTCACACGTGGTGCTGTGACCGCTTCCAAGCTTACTGGAGCTCAAGAAGCGTCCCAGCAATTCTGTCAGACGTGGTCCTGTGGAGCCAGGAGTTGGACACGGTGATCCTTTGGGTCCCTTTGAACTCAGGATATTCTATGGCTTTTGTACAATGTTACTGTATAATAGTATTATTGTAAAAGTCCATCTGAACTTGTATCTAATAGCAGCTCTTCATTTCTACTCCGTTCAACAAACTTCCTAGAAACATCTATCATGTTCCAAATATATTCATAAGATAATGTTATAACTTTTTTATTTTATTGTAAATTACTTTGTGAGCCTTCTATTATTACAAGCTACAGTATGCAGGCCTCTTAGGCTTACTGGTACTATGTTTTTGCTGTCACAAGACTTCAGAGCTACTGGCTGCCTTGTATGCTGAGTGAAAATTATATTACTGTGGATGTCAGTCAAGTTGTGCCTGAAAAGAGCCCATTTTACAGATATGTGGAACTGCACTGTTAATTTTCCTTTAAATTTCTCTTCTGTTATAATCGAGAAAGTTGACATTTTAGTCATCATGGCAGTTCTGCGCTTTCTTCATTAATTTGCATTACACTCAACCACTGCCTCTAAGCAGATTCTTCAGTATTTTTATTTGGGGAGAAGTGGGTTAAGATATTATTTGTTAATTCCTAACCATTGAAATTACAAGACAGTAAGGAGATATGGAAGTATCTCACAGGCATGTCTTAGGTCTCTTTTATCAAATGCTTTCTGCCACATTCGTTCTGCCTTTTCTTTAAAAGCTGATAACATTATTCAAAAACAATCAAATTCATTGGCTTTTCCCTGCATTTTGTTTTGACGTTAATACGCGTGCATGTGAATAATGGGAGAACCTTTCTTAGACTTCCTAATGTTGAGCATAATCTTTAAACGATTAAAAAGTCTATCCAGGTGGCAGAGATACATAGGTGTTTGTTTTTCATTTCCTAAAACTAGATTTATTATGATAAACTTGATAGCAGGCAGTCACGGAATGATAGAATGATGTTATATATTTATGGTATTATATATTATATATTGTATGCAAGTTCTATGGTTTAGTCTCTTTTGAAGTGAATAGAGTACGATTAGTGTTCTCTTCAGCTCTGCTGTAACTGAAATTGCATTTTCTCTGTCTACCTATTTTAAATACAGTGTGTTTCAGACTTTTTTTTTTACGAACACACAAGAGAAGTGAAGCATGAAAATGAGCTAAACTGCTTAGATGTGTGAGCAGAAGTGTGGATTTACAGTGTAGTTCCTATGCTTGGACTACTGCCACCTCTAGAAACTCCTCTGAGAAAAAATAGGTACAGTTCTGATGAAGTTCTTAGAGAACAAAGCTTCTGAAACTCTTTTTCAAGTAGGCTGGCTACAAAAACTCTCTTATAATTGATTTTGTGAGGAAGAGGTAATTCATTGTGAAATAAAGGGTAGGGGGAGGGAAGTGCCCAAATATGGAATTAACTACAAAAACATACAAGCAGAGAAAGCCAGTGCCAGCTGCAAGATTGAAGCCCTACAGTATGTAGAATATCTGAGTTTCTTACTAGCCGTATGAATAGAGGCAGATGCTTTTTGTGATATTAATGGTGTGAGGCTGATATAAAATACTTACCGTATTAAAAGATGTGAGAAGCAGTTTCAGGAGGAGCCTATATTCTCTCCATCAGTCTAGAGATTAGAACATGAAGATCAACTTTTAATGCTGGTGAGCTACTGCATAAACTTGAAAACAAAATTCACTTCCCAGTTTCTAGTACTGATCTTAATTTATTTTAAAAATTCTGTTGTAACCTTTAATATGTATGGCTATGGAGTTATACCAGTGTTCCTGGCAAAGTGAATTCATGCTGTTTTCATTTTATTTGTTGGCATTCAATCTGAGGACATCATCAGTTATTCAATAGCTTTAAATATTTTAGATACTGTTCTTAGAATATTGCCAATGCAATCTAGGTGATTTAGTTTGGAGTGTCCTTTCCATTCTGTAGGTCTACTGTCCATCTTCCTGTTCTTTTTAACTCCTCCTACAGCTCTCTTAGTGCATCTACTATTTGCTTTAAGAGGTATTCTCTGTTTTTATAATTTTGTTTTTTTTTTTTTCTTCTCCACTGTTCGTAAGCAAGACACAGATTTACCTTTCGATAGTACAAGTCAGAACAAGTTTATCATCACATCTACCTGATTTTATTTTTTATTTTTCCCCAGAACCATTTATTTTATAATTGTCTCCCAAACCATCTTTAGGCAAACGTTAAAGAAATAACATAGCTACAGCAGGCATAAACGTAGACAGTAAAGGGAAACTACAAAGGTAATCTAGAATGTGATACACCCAGACTGTGCCCAACAGATGCTTATTAAATCTGCTCTTACACAGTTAGTGAGAGCAATTGCATAACCTTATGAGGTAGCTTGGCAGTCTGAAATGTGAGAGAACCCAGAGATATGAGGTAGCAAGGCTATCTGAAAATCTATCCAAGACACTTGTAGCTGCAAACTAAGCCTATTGTTTCTTTTCTTCTGATACGCGTTTTAACAGAAGATGTACACATCTGTATGCTGTTGTCATGCTTCTGGCAGTCATCTTTACCAAATGATGTAACTCCATCGCCTCTATTTATCATTTTTAAAAGCTTCTGATTTTTTTATGTTGCTTTTCTCTGGACTTTTTAAACATAACGAAGTCTATTTTAAAGGTGCTAATTTAGCTTAAACAAGTGCATACTTTATAGATGCTATTTATCCTGTGCATTTTATTTCTGGAACATATAATGCTGTGCTTACAAAGGGTGATGTCTAACAGGACATAGTCTTTATTCTCAGTGATAAAATCAAGCATGTGCACAAATCTTAATTGGTTTGTGACCCCAAATACAAATGTACAAAAACAGAGAATATAAGGAAAAACAAAGACAAATAACTTTGAAGCTCGCTGAACATAGTCATGACTAAATTGCTGGTAAAGTAAGTTCTAGAAACGTGGATCTTGCCTTTTACTTTCCTCTGTCTTCTGGTTTTACCAGAGCTTCTGATCCACTTGTAACTGAGCTGGATCTCTTGCACACCTTTTCTGAAGCTAATGAGGTTTTTACAGAATATTACAAATACTTCCATGAGCATATAGAAATGGGTATGAAGGTAGAACAAGGGTCTTTGAAATTGTGTGAAACAAGCTGGTCTACAGGCTGGAGCTCAAGTTCTCTGTGTGTGATTACAGACCTGTGCAGCTGAATTGAGGAAAAGCTGAGGTGACCATTGCAAGTAGTTGGAAAGCACTGGATATTTTCTACAAAAGTTGACACAAGGTACATCGTTTCACAAACATACCTCTCTGTAATAGAAATAACATCTCTGGTTGCTGTAACTTACAGGAATGTAAGCTTGTAGTATTGCAGTGGGAAAACCATTGCTGTTTTCTGTGGATGTAGCAGTGTTTCTGTATATATGTTCTTGGATGACAAATGATACTGAGAGAACTTCTCACAGAAAATACTGTTTTCTAACATATGGGAGGGTGGGGGGAAGGAGAAGATAAGAAGGTGAGTTTGGGGCCTTTGTAATGAAGGAGAAAGTTGGGATAACCCACATGTGAGATTTTGCCAAAGCAATTGGGGAAAGAGGAAAAAAGTAAACTTGGACTGCATGCTTAATGGGCAAACTTATCTGATTTGAATTATACGAAATAATAGGTTAGTTCTATTCAAGTCTCATCCCAGACCCACCCCCCTTTTCCAGCCCTAGGGGAGGGAGCGTTAAATAATGGTCTGTGTAAACTGATGCTCATGCAGTAAGAGTTTGGAGTAGTGCTGCTTGTACAAGTTAAAGCAGGCAGCGAAGAAAGAACAACCAAATAAAAAGCAGCTGCAGGGGGGGGGAAATAATAAAAGTGGACCTTCCTGAAATTAAGACATGTCTTTCCTGACGAGAGTTCTGACCACGAAATGCAAGCAGACACTTGAATCCGAGAGGACTTACTTCCAGCACGCGCTTTTTGTCAGCAGGTTTCACCAGGCGCCCGTGCCGTCGGGCAGTCAGTCCCTGGAGGTGCGGAGCGGCGCGGGGAACAAAGCGGCGAGGCCGGGGGAGCTGCTGGAGCCCTCGCCGCAGCTGGGCAGGGTGAAGAGTTTGCACGAAATGCCCGGACCCAACACCCTCTACAATCTCTATGAGTTCTTCTGGAAGGACGGCTTCGGCCGCATTCATGAGATCCAGGTACGACTCGGTCGGCTCTTTCGGGCTTTATTCACGCCGGATTACCGAACTTTTCCTTCTCTCCCCTCGCAAAATGTTGCCTAATCGCCGCGTTACCGCATCGCCGCGTTCCTGCTGTTACGAAAGAGCCGAGGCGAGGAGGTCCCCGTTCGGTTCCGCGTCCCTCAGCTCTGGACGTTTAGCACTTTTTGTTTCGGGTTCTGCGGGCATCGCCTTCTGCAGTTCCCCTTAGACGTGCGGGCGGCCGCTTCGCAGGCGCACCCAGGCTTTCGACTCTTCCCCTTTTTGGGGGGGCTTTTAGCTGTGTGCCATAGGCTCTGAAAGGGAAAAGGAAGCACCTCTGGAGCACGGTTGCCGCAAAGACTCGCGCTTCCCCCGCTCGCTTGTTTTTGGCGGCGGAGCTGGGAAACGAGGCTTTTCCTGCAGCCTGGAGGCGAGGCCGTGCCGCGGCTGAGGTGCCTCAGCCCTCAGGGGCTTCTGCTCATCCTTCACCTCAGCCCGGCGTCACCCTGTTGTGCCCAGAGACCATTTTTCCTCCCCGCCCCTCGCTTCTACCCTGGCCTCTCCTTACGTAAATATACTTCGGCTCTACAGGTCCCCTGAGGGGGCGGTGGATGCGCCTGGCCCCCAGCAGCTGCGGAGGGGCCGCCCGCAGGGCCCTCCCCTCCGCGGGAGGCGGGCGGTTTGAAACCTTCCCCCGAAGGGGCCGTGGAGGGGGAACCAACGGTTCGCGCTCCCAACCCCTGCCCGCGCCCCCTCCTCTGGCGGCCCCAGCGGCGCGCGCGGGCGGGGAGGCGGGAAGCGGGGCGTGATGGCGGCGGGAGCTGCCTGAGGGAGGGAGGCACAGAGACACCGAGAGTCCCCTCGGGTCCTCCTCAGAGAGCGCGGCCGCTGTCACCTGGCGTGAGGGTGGGAGGGTAGGGGCGGAGGGGTGACCCCTTGGTTTGGCACTTCGGTCTCACCCCTCGTGAGGGGGCAGCGTGGGCTGGGCGTGCGAGCCCCTTAGTCCAGCTTTGGAAACCAGCAGGAATAGAGCTTAAAGAACCTGGAAACCGGGAGCTTGAAAGGAGCTGGAAATAAAGGAGATTGGGGAACAAAAAGTCAAACGCGTTCCTTAGTTTTGACTGCAGTGTGTTTATCACTTGGATCTCTAAAAAGAAGTGTCAGTCTGCCCTGTGATCTGAGCTGTTGGTGAATTAATAGCTTAATTACTTAACAACAGTTATGTGCAGATTAAACTTAATTGTATCTGCGGAAGGTTTTTTTTTTTTTTTTTTTTTTTTTTTTTTTGTCATACTGCGTTTCTTATTTCCATTGCTGCTGTGGTAGTGCCCAGTTTGTGAGGCACTCTCCATATGCCGTCGAGTCAAAAAATACCTTGCATGTTGAATTCAAGATTTCACTGTTGTAAATACGAAAGCTGAAACATTCAAAAGCATCAAAGTTTTGGAATGGATATAAAAATAGGTAAACAGTGTATGCTCTGAACCAGAAAACCTCTTCACCGAATGTTATTCACAGAGAAGAAAGCAGGAGGAAGGATGAGGAGGAGCTGTAAAGCGATGCTGGTTTTTATTCTGCATTGAGCCTCAGCAATCACTTTGCAAATCACAGATGGCCTGTTTGCATACATGCTGCATGCAAGCAGGCATTAGCCGGCTTAATAACAGTCTGTTAAATTTAACAATACAGTGAACATCAGGAATGAATTAATTTGAAACCCTTTGGTAACCAGCAGAGCTACTTAAGCAGTATCCTTTGGTGTGCAGCAATGCTCATAGGCTATATGCAGGAGGGGTGGGGAAAGCTGGGCTCTTCACAAAGGAGGTTCTGTTCTCTGTAACATGATTCCAGTCAGTCCTGGCCAAAGCAGCAATGCTTACAGCAATTATGATAAAGGGAATGTATTCCTAATTTGACAGGATCAGATCTTGTGTCTCATCAGTACTGTTTGAGTATAAAGGAAATAAAGGAGAGAGGAAAGGGTTTGGATGCTTACAGAATTTATGACATATGGAAGAATGTATGGTGTGAGAGTGGTATGTGAGTCATTAAACTGCAATATTTTTAAGGTCTGGAATGAGAGAAAGAAAACCTGTGTTGTGATAGAAAATATGGAAGAGAAATTCCAGGCATTTCTTTAAACATCAGGTTAATACTGAACACCATTCTGCTGAAAGCAAGAGAAGGCCAAAAACCTTGTCGATTTCTGTTTGAGAACAGATATTTCATTTATTTGGTTGAACGGCTTGATACTCGATTTGTTCTCTGTTCAAGTTCAATCTCTTATGTCACCCTCACAATCAGTGGAAAAACCAGACAGTTCTATTACAAAATTTGATGAGCTTAACATTCTGAGATTGGTATTTCCCCCCTGTGTTCCCCTCACACCACTGCCTTTTCCTTGCACCATTTGTGCCACAACATGCCTACCTTAAAGACTCATGGTCTCAGTCCTCTCCATGCTCAGCTTCAATATCCCTTGAAATTCCTCTGGGGCAAGAGCTGCTTTGGGTTTTGGGAGTGCTTGTTATTTATACGTTGGTCTGCATGTATGTTTGGTTAACAGGAGACCAAGCAGGAGTGGTCATGGTTGAGTTCCTACTGCAGCACTTCCTTTGTCAGACTGGCAAATGTGTGCATCTAGTTTGAATCAAGATGCTGATCTTTGAAAATGGGAAGAATATATTTGTAGGAGATGTAACTGCTTGTTGAAACTTGACTGAAATTGGCCAGTGTGTTTCAGAAGTAGTTAAGTGGAGACTGGCAGAGACCACAGTTGCACAACTCTTGTTTTGTTTGGAAAGTAGGCAAAAAGAACTACATTTTTATAGGCACTTGGTATCGTATGGTAGAAAGTGATTCATGTGTCTTAAATTTACTTTTGGCAATTGAACATTTCATCTCTCTGAGCAATACTGATTAAAACATCTCATGAATTAGTCTTGGTCAACACTGGACTTTCACTAACTTCAGTGTACTGAACTTGTTTGATTTATAACCAACACAACTCTGCAAGCAGATGTCTTTATATTAGATGAAAGTAATGTGTCAAACTTTGGGCAGTTTAACTTATTTTGCTGCTTCAAACAGAAGTAAGACCTTTAAGATCTTAAACAGTCTTAAATTTAAGTCCCTGTATGGTTTCAACTGTTCCTTTGCAGACTTTTTTTTCCCTCGAATGATGTTGAACCTCTGTTCCAAATGAGTTCCTGGGAGTTGTTTCATTTCACAACATTGGAATTAAATTTGTTGAACATAATCATTAAATTTCCTCAGACAGTGATGCATCACTTCATGTTTAATGGCCTGTTGCTCGCCTCCAGCTTGAATCATACAACTCATGAATCAACCACTAAACAAACTTCTCTGCTGGAATAATCCTTCAACGTTTTCTTCCTTTTTCAGAATTAATCTATGTCATCAATTTGCTGCTCATGAATGTGTCCCAAAATGTAGGGTTATTTTATTGGGCTGTTACATAGTTGCTATCCTAGTTTAGATGGAAGAAAGTATAAACGTTTCCTTGTAAACTGCTGCAGTATGTACATTAAAGGCATTAAAAGTGAATTATGGTATCTCTCTATTATACTTTCAAATTCACATACTGCCTTGTTTTTTTTTCTTTTTTCTTTTTTTTTTCCCCAGATATTCTAATGTATTTGATCTGAAGATAAATGTGTTTTTAAACATGCCCTATGTCCTTCCATCTTTTCGATAGTTTATTTCACCAGTGATTTTGTGCCTTAGAGCTGAATGTTCAGTCAGTGTGACCCCTGTATTTTCCTTATGGATTTTTCCCAGTAATACTTCGATGCTTTCTTGTGATGTTTCAAACCATCCCATGACTAAAAAGCTAGAAGTCAAGTCCTAGGTGTGATAAGTTGACTCACTCTGTGACAGATTGTCAGCTTCCTTCTCAGTTTCCTTAGTAATATTTTACTTCTCTTTCTCTTTGTTGGTGACGTTGTAGCAAAAACACACTCAGGAATATGGAAAGATCTTCAAGTCTCACTTTGGTCCCCAGTTTGTTGTATCCATTGCAGATCGAGATATGGTTGCTCAAGTGCTCCGGTCAGAAGGTAGAGCACCACAGAGAGCTAACATGGAATCGTGGCAGGAATACAGAGACTTAAGAGGAAGAGCTACAGGACTAATCTCAGCGTGAGTTCTGTTATGTGTTCATTTCTAAGTTTTGTTGGAAAAATTGAATCGCTTTTCTAAGGACTGTACAGGTCATCTGAGAATTCAGGCTTTCCTGTAGATATCCATATGGTTAGCCGGGGGAGGAGGGAATTAATTTTTAGTGACTTGGGTGTCCTGGTGGACGACAGGTTGGCCATGAGCCAGCAGTGTGCCCTTGTGGCCAAAAAGGCCAATGGCTTACTAGGGTGCATTAAAAAGAGCGTGTCCAGCAGGTCGAAGGAGGTGATCCTCCCCCTCTACTCTGCCCTGGTAAGACCTCATCTGGAGTACTGTGTCCAGTTCTGGGCTCCCCAGTACAAAAAAGACAAGGATCTCTTGGAAAGAGTCCAGCGGAGGGCCACGAAGATGGTGAAGGGCCTGGAGCATCTCTCCTACGAGGAAAGGCTGAGTGAACTGGGTCTGTTCAGCCTTGAGAAAAGGAGACTGAGAGGGGACCTGATCCAGGTCTATAAATATCTAAGGTGTGGGGGGCAGAATGGCGAGGCCAGACTGTTTTCAGTGGTGAGTGGAGACAGGACAAGGGGAAACGGCTGGAAACTGCAGCATAGGAAGTTCCGCGCAAATATGCGCAAGAACTTCTTTACAGTGAGGTGACGGAGCACTGGAACAGGCTGCCCAGGGAGGTGGTGGAGTCTCCTTCTGTGGAGATGTTCAAGACCTGCCTGGATGCCTACCTGCGCGACCTGCTGTAGGGAACCTGCTTTGGCAGGGGGGTTGGACTCGATGATCTCTGGAGGTCCCTTCCAACCCCTACAATTCTGTGATTCTGTGATTCTGTGACTTCTACATTATGCTGTAAAATTTCAGGAAGTTGATCGTGATGCATAGTTTGACAGTGGAATGAGCGACCTTGTGCAATAACATTTGTGGGTATTGGTTATCTGGACGCAGTATATAGGAGCAGGGCACACTGGCTTTGGCATAGCACTGCACAAACATGCTTTTACTGCTTCAAATCCAAATGACTGTATCCAGTTGGCAGCATGTTGTGTGGATGCTGGTTTGGGTTCACTTTATTGTTTATCAAAGTTCTCTCTCATTGGATTAAAGCAGAGAAGTCGCTGCATTGTAAATCCATACTGAAGTGCATCCCTATGCAGGTATATGTTTGTGTGCAGCTAGACTGTAGAAAAGATATCCATCTTTAAAGCTTTAATAAACTGACAGTGAATGTGTGGGTGTGTGGTTAGCTGCCACAGGGAGCAGCCCACAGTCGGCACTGAGATGGCTTGTTTATTTAGAGGGAAACAGTTTTCCTGAGCCACGGCCAGTCTATTTCTTACATGGTGACAAAAGGCAATATGGATTGCACTGCAGAGTCAAGCCAGCAGTTCCTTGATATTTTGTGTAAGAAGAGCTTAAACTGAGACATTCAGAAAGTGTCTCCAAAGAGACACTAAAGACGTTCAATTTTGCTGCTGGCCAGTAAGCTTCTGTACCTTACAGCAGCGTTTCTCAAGGTGAACGAATTTCTTGGGAATACACTGCAATTTAAAGTAACTGTCACTAAAGACAATTAGCTGTCTTTTGAAGGAACTGAAAGACATCTTTGCAATCACTGTTTCCAGTCGCTTTGCTTATAGCAAGCGTGCAGATGTTACAATTCAAAATTCAAGAAGATTTCAATACATACCTCAGCTAAAGGAAAGCTTGCAAATCTACAGTAAGTATGAAGTAAAAATGTAGGCACAAAATACTGAGAATGTTATACCTCCATTGTTTTCATTTCACTACTTGATTTTTCTTATCAAAAACATAAATGATCATCATGACAGCTTTTACCGAGCTAGAGGTTGTTAGGAATAATTTTGTATAGATGTTATTAATGTTTTTTTTTTTCTAGAGAGGGGGAACAGTGGCTAAAAATGAGAAGTGTACTGAGGCAAAAAATTCTGAAACCCAAAGATGTGGCGATTTACTCTGGAGGAGTCAATGAAGTTATCACAGATTTAATTAAAAGAATCTACACCCTCAGAAGTCAAGAGGAAGATGGGGAAACGGTGACCAATGTTAATAATCTTTTCTTCAAGTACTCAATGGAAGGTAAGTTTTGGCTGAGTAACACCCATGAAGAAGAGTTAATGCAAAGCAACGTGGTTGCATTTAGCTATTTTTGTCATAAGTTACTGTTACCTTATTGTGATTAATGGGGACTGTGATATTTTGTGTCCATATGCATCTCTCCCAGCTTGAGGAAATGGATATTGGTAGAATTGATTTGTACAATCCAAAGAGATACTTTGTATTAAGTAACATTTACTGTGGAAACGCTGATATATAGGCAAAATGTATGGTGAGGGCCCTGACCGCTTTCCAGTGTTCCTTGTTTCTATCTACCTCTCAAGAACAGAAGTGTAAACCTTCTCTCAGTTTGAATTCTAAGATGTGTCAGTTTAATACACCACTGGCCGAATTACAGGTGGGCAATCACGGCGTGATCTATCTAAATTCTCTTCACTGTATATTGAGAGAAAAGACACTGTTTTTCCCTGCCTACAACACACCAAGGGTGACATTGTTATGCTTGCCTTAGAATAACCTGGCACTTGCAAACAGTAGAGAGATGATGTTGTGCTAGACTGAACTTCAGCCTGAGCTAGTATGGGATTTTGTGTTTTCTTTCAGAGATCTAATGGTGGGATGGGTTTCACGTATTCCTTTAACTGACTTCATGTGATCTGATCTCATTATATGTTACACCTTTAAAAAACACAGGCACTCTGCAGACATGCAGCTGAAGAGCTTGAGTTTTGCAAAAACTTTCAAATTGCTCAAGATGCTGCATCAAATATCTGTCTGTTTGGCAAAAATAATTGAAATCTGTTCTACATCAGTAATGTCTACAATGGTATTCAACTAAGTTACAAATTTTATGAGATTTTAAACTGAGCTTAAAGATTCACTTCAACTTGTAGGTTAAAGTTCCTCACATTCTTTTAGCTTTTCATTTATTATGTGCCTGACACACATGGTTTATTTCTTATATCAACTGCATTTTTGACTTCACTCACTGTCAATTGTTCAGGGAAGCCAATATGTCAGATTTAAAAAAAAAAAAAAAAAAAGCCTATCTAAACAATAAAAGAATGCATGTGAACTGGCAGTTGTTGAAAGATGCCTGGGAGAAATAAAAGGCTTATCAAAATATCTCCAGAGGGAGGAAAGTTAAGGAAGGAAAAGTATGTGAAAATAACCAGATTCAGCAATTATTTTTGTCAGAAAAGAATAAATATGAAGGAGAAAAAAAAAAAAAAAAAAAACAAAAAAAAAAAAAAAAAAAAAAAGCAGAAACAGAAGTAAATGGAAATTGCTGAAAATTTCTGTATCTCTCTGTATATTCTTGAGGATTCATGGGGTCTTTGTTGGAGGGCAGAACAGAAGTTAAGCATCGTGCTTATTGTACCTATTAATAATAAGAAAGATGGGGGCGAAAAAGACTTTGAATGGCAATCACTACAATACTGCAAAAATTCAAGTGAGAAAATCATAGTAAATTGTGAACAGCAGTCAGTCCTGTCATTCGCAGTGCTGTCTGACAGCTGCTGTTTTTCAGGGCCAAGTGGAATATATTTATATGTTGTGCAGTGAAATCACTGTAGTGCAGTATGTGCTCGTTATCTGTTCATGTGTACTAATTATCCATTTACTACTAGCTTATCAGGATCACGAAAGGCACTACTAGAAATTCCTGCATTATCACCAGTTGCCAGAAATATCTTTGGACTTACATCTCCCTACGTGTTCAGAGGAGAGTCTATCAGGCTTAGAATTTGTGGTACAGTGGGAAAAACAGCAAACATGCTGGAGGGCTGCTCTGCTTCTTCTGTGATTCCTGAATATCTTCTCATGCTAAATATTATTACAGAAAGAAATGGCTATTGTGTCAATATCTAGCTAGGATTTTTTAAAAAATATTTTAATATTTCATTCACTTCCAGCTGCAGTGAGAATAACTACGAGTTTTTTGAAGGTAGTTCGATTGTGTTAGAATTCAAATTCCTCAGCTTATTAATGTGTGTATATGCAAGTGAATAGCAAATTCTTTGATCTCGTATGTGCAGGTGTGGCTACTATTCTGTATGAATGCAGGTTGGGCTGCCTGGAAAACAACGTCCCACAACAGACCGTTGAATATATCGAGGCTCTGGAGTTGATGTTCAGTATGTTTAAGACCACAATGTATGCAGGTGCCATTCCCAGGTGGCTTCGTCCATTTATTCCAAAACCCTGGAGAGAGTTCTGCAGATCCTGGGATGGACTCTTCAAATTTAGTAAGATTTAATAGTAGAAAAAGTTTCACTGTATTTCTGCAGGTGCTTTGTGTGTTTGAACAGGACTTAATAAATTTCTCTTCTGCAGTTTAAAGGAGGCAGAAGAAATGCTGTGATAATACAACAAAACTCCATCTGAAATACTAAATAATTGTTAGAGTAATACCTATGGAGAAATTGAACAAAATGTTTAGGCTATATATCAAGAAATTCCTGATATTAGTTGGATCTGTATAGAATGTAAGAGTAAGCTTTGTATTGAATAATTTTTCGAGAAAATGTATTGTTTAAAAAGAATTAATGTTTCTAGTGTGCTTTAAATATATCCCTATGTTACCATGTTTTTTTCTTTTATTTGTCTTCATCTGTTTCAGTACTCTGTCTTCACTCAAGCTCTGAGTTCTCTGCAAATGTTTTACCTTAAGCCACTCAAATTTTGATGAAGATAATTACTTTTGTTGACTTCAGCAAGATTTCATTCAGGCACTCTGAATGATGGCCACTAAAACTGACTAGAAATTAAAAAAAAAAAAAAAAAGTGAATTCATTGTGAAGTGTGTGTATATACATGTATGTAAGCACAGAAGCTGGCATAGAAATATACTGCTGTACTGCAGTATGTTTTTTTGTAAATAAAATGTTCTTTGCAGCTTGGTTCATAAAGTTGCAGTCATCTTAATTAAGAAAAGAGGAGTTATCCTTGTAACATACTGTCTTATTCTGCAGCATTTAAAACACCTGAGCCCTCTTTCTGTCTCTAATGTTAGGAAGCTGCATGCATCTTTGTATTTGTTTTATTAACAGTATTTGCCTTGGTATGTCTGTGTAGATTACCTTGAGAGCAGATTCTTGGGTTTCTTCATTTTTGATCTGCCTGCATGTACTGAGCAGTACTACAGTAAGCATCAGGGGATCTTTTTAATGCATGGGTGCGTTTTCTGTAAAAGAGTTGTTCCCTTTTGTTGGTTAAAACCAACATCAGATTTTAGCTTTATCCCTAGAGCAGAAATGAATCTGCTCTTGAGGAATTTGTTCCGTGCAAAATTTGTTATGCAGCTTCTTCCTTTAAGTTCTTTGTGAAAGAGGAATTGAACAGTAAAACTCACTGTGATGTGTGCATTTGTGTGGTTTTGTAAGGGAGTAAGTTGATTCATGTCCTTTTGTAAGCTCATGCTGTGAGACATTCACTTCCAGAGGAGTTTTCTCCTTTGAAGCACTTGTTTCACTGAAGATGCTGTTTGTAGCCAAGTATGTATGGGAATATGGGTAAAATAATTCAGGAGTTACCATTCACTGAATTTTTTCAGTTTTTGTTATTGCTTGATGCCCCTCATCTTTGTCTTTGTTGTGATTCAGTTCTGTAGTTTTGACCTCCAAGTTGCTGCTAACATCATGAAACAGCTGCTGTATGTTGAGCTGCAGCATCATTCTGCACAGTTTGCCACTTCTTGCAGTCATCAGAAAACAAGCCACTTCAGTGGGCATAGAACTCAACCTTGAGCTTCCTCTGCCCCCAGTCAGAATCTGCATCTTGTGTCCTTTCCCCGTGCTAAGTGTTCTCATGCTGTGAGCTAGGTTGTTTCTGCCAGTTCAGGCTTTCCTCACTGTGAGTCCCCAAGGAGACCTGCACCACTAACTGCTCTTTTATCTTTGTACCTAGAAAATAGATAAAAACGTTTTATCTGTTTGGGGCTATATAGCAGAAGAAAGAACTGTCTTTACTGAACTGAAACAAAAGAGAAATAAAAACAGAAGCTTAACAATTTTTTTTGAATCCCAAAGGTCAAATTCATGTTGACAACAAACTGAAGTCTATTCAGTCTCAACTGGATCAAGGAGAAGAAGTGAATGGTGGGCTACTTACGTACCTCCTCGTGAGTAAGGAGCTTACTTTGGAGGAGATCTATGCCAATATGACTGAAATGCTTCTGGCAGGAGTGGACACAGTAAGCTTGCTATCACTTTTCTTGTGCACGCTGTACCTTTCACATCTTCCTTTAGGAGTACGAGGGTGGGGTGGGAAGGTATACTGTTTTTAAGGGCATTATTTCTGGTACGTTTATATCATTATATCTTTCACGTGACAGAAGAGTAACAAAGTCAATGAAGTTCTTTTCTAGCTGCAGTTTACAGGATCCCACCAGTTCCACAGTTTGTTAGATGGACAAAATGGCACTTGTCTTCACATTCACTTCGAATTTTATACGTTTTCTTTTTGTGCTTTGGAGCTCAGATTGGTGTCTGTGCTTTTTTAGGTAGACCACAGTACAAAGACTGACACAAGTTAGTGTGAATAATTGATCAGTAAACTCACATGTAGGATTTGGTAAAGGATTTTTCATGTATGGGTTGCAGCCAACTGGTACACTCATTTTGGATCAGACGCCTCGTTTCTGCTGAAATCCATAAGGCCAGCACTGATGTAGGAAGGTGTGAATTCACTTTTTCTCTTTTTTTGTACTGGTAAGTTTCAATCAGACTGAGACAAAGAGCTCTGCAGATGGGAGTCAGTATTACTGAGGCTGGAGTACAAGGTATGTTACATTAATAAAAAAACATTTGGGTGTGCCAAGCTAGACTGAGCGGTGCATTTGTCCTCTTGAGTATTTGAAGAAACTTTAAGGTCAAGTATGTGTATTCCCTTTCTCTCTGCCCTGTTATGGGGAATCAATGTATTAGCTTCAGCATGACAGTGAGAATATAAAGGTAAAAGCTTATTGTATTATATATGCAGTGCATGTGGTGTTTTATGGAATATCAATGAACAATGTTACTGTAAAATACTGTAAACACATTAAAAAGAAAGAATTTAATAAGGTACTATATTGGATTGTGCTTAATAGCCTTAAGGTAAAAAAGATTAAGTAGAAATGTAACTTTCAAAGCTTTCTTTAAAGAAAAAGCTTTATAATTGGATGCAGATTTTTTTTGGTTTAAGAAAGTTTATGAGGTTTCTAAGGAAAACAAAACAAAAAAACCAACCCAATAGTAATACGTTTGAGTTGTTCCAAAATAAAGAGCATATGTAATGCTTATTTATATGTTGAAGACTGATCTGTTGGTTAGATATCCCAAGGATTTATGAGTTTAAAGAGCTTTTTGATGTCTGGCTCTTAAGTAAAACACAGTTACTTATTCATTTTCTGGTCTTTCAGATTCTTAATTTTCCATTTCTAGTGTGTAAGGAAGTTCTCATTACATTAAAAGGACAGCATTCAAATACATGCCAGTGAGAATTTCTGTTCCTATTGAACCCAGTTTTCTCAGCTGGCAGCAATCATTCTGTGAGAGGACAATGCTTGTGATTTCCTCATTTCTTAGTACAAGGCAGAAATGAAGGGAACTTTTTTTTCCAATGTTCTGCTGTCATTTCAGTGCTCCTTTTGTCACAGAAACTGGAGGGTTAGAAGATTATAAAAGCTTTCAACAAAATCGTAAGGCAGCTTTTGGCTGCAGGGCATTTTGGCTGTCCCTAGAATTTTTAAGTGGTTATGAAGAAGCTGGGAACCTGGGAAGAGACTTTTTACATCACAGGAAGTTTTGACAGAATTGCCAGTTGCTCTGAGCTCTTACAAGAATAGGATAGGGTTGTATTTTAGCAAGGGGTGATCAAGTCGCTCAGTATTACAAGGAGAAGTAAGTTTCTGAGAATTTCTTTTAGTGTTACATCCCAGTTCAAACTTCGGACATTAAAGGTCCCCTTTATGATGAATGTGCGTTCTGAATTTATCTTAAATGCAAGCCCAAAATAAAACATTTCCAGAACTTCAGGTGGGAATTTTCAAGATGTAGAAGACACTTGTGGTATGGCACTATTTACTGTGGTAATAGCAGTTGTGTTTTCTGGATGGTGTGAACAGACTATTCTGTGCTTAAAATTGGTTGGTAGTGTTTTGAGCAGTATTCTCTTAGCCTGTTTCCCATTAAATTTTTAGTTAGGTGGAAAGGTGGAACACTGAAAACAGTTAATTTGATCTGTTGCTGTTTAGAGTGTGCTGATGTTTCAATATTGTTTATGTAGTTGTGTTTGCGTTTGTTTTTTCTGTTGATATTTAACACTTTACTAGGAAAATATCAGCATGGATTGTTTTGATATGCAGAGGATTTTTAGGTGCAAAAAGACTGGTGGGGGTGGTGAAGCCTGACAACATCCCATGGAATCCAGATGTTAGTCATTGCCAGTCTGTTTTATAACTGCAAACACACACGCGCACACACAAAAAAACCCCCACACAGCTGAAAATTCATTGCTTTACTTGACTTGAAGCTTTAATCTACTCCTGTTGGATTTGATGGTAGTGATTTCTTTCTTAGACTTCTTTTACTTTGTCCTGGGCAATATATATGTTGGCAAAGCACCCTGAGGTTCAACAACGTGTTTATGAGGAAATCATAGATAAGCTGGGGAAAGACCAAGCTCCTGTTGCTCGTGATGTTCCCAAATTGCCTTTGATTAGAGCTGTGCTGAAGGAGACTTTGAGGTAAGGGTTTTATCAACTGTTGATTAAGAAAAGTAATTTCATGTGGCTGTAAGGAATTTTGAGTCCGTGTTAATATTTATGTTAGTATTTACTGCTGTTTTCTCCTTCTGCTTTTACTTACTGTGGCAGTATTGTGTCCAAGGATACCCAGGCAATGAGATAAGATAGTTTGCATAGTTGTTAAATACCTTTCCAGTTTAGTAAAAGTAGTATTGAATATTTAGGACATGTCTGTTAAGATAACTGAAAACTTGAGATTTGCATTTCATTATTCTGCATGTAGGACTGTAGCAACCTACTCCCCTCAACCCCCTGCACTACGAAGTGGTACTTTGCAGTGCCACTACAGCCAATTTAAGCTTCTTGCCTTAAATTGAAGGCATGTGACACAACTGTTTGGGTTTTTTTTTTTTTTTACATTTATACCAAATGCTCATAGCGAGGTGAGAGAAGTAAGAGGATTTTGCACAATGCATCAACGAGCATTTTCCAGCAATCTGTATTGTAAAAAATACCTGCAGCTTGAACAACTGCTTGTGTATTTGCACATATGTGTAGCAATCATATAGGGCAAACAGCTCAACTTCTAGTTACTTGTGATTAACTTCTCTTTAGTATTAATGATATTCTCACAAATGCTTCAGGGTCTTTTAATCTCCAAGGTTATCAGTACGTTTAAAAAAAAAAAACCAAAAAACTCTTTGTCCTCTGAATTGTATATTGTATTGGAAACCGAATGCTTGAAGTTGTATTAATTACTGCTCTTGAAAGACTTTTAAATATTTGTCTCTAGGTTATATCCTGTATTGCCAGGAAATGGAAGAGTGACCCAGAAAGACTTGATTGTTGGAGGATACTTAATACCTAAAGGGGTAGGTATTGTTCTGTAGGTTCTGTTGCAGTTTTCTGGAGAGAACTCCAGTGGTGCACTGGAACGGGTTGCCCAGAGAGGTTGTGGATGCCCCATCCCTGGATGTAGCTCTGCAGGATGTAGCAGCTAGAGGTTTGTGACCCTGCACACATAGCAGACGGGTTGAAACTCGGCGATCTTTGAGGCCCTTACCAACCCAGGCCGTTCTGTGATTCTCAGTTCAATTTCTGTATATGAGATGTGATCTATTACAGTTACTTGCACTTCATTAATTTAAAATAACCAACCTAGAGCATTAAGGATAAAATACTAGTATAATGTTTGTGTATCTGACAAAAAGATGACTTTATAGTTGACCTGTTGCCATTATTTTTTTCAGACTTGGTTCCTCACCCACTTATTGTTTAACTTCTAACTTTTCTTGATAGTCTGCAGGTAGAGAGTTGATAATGCCTCTCTGAAATGTTAGGATTTAATTTAAAAGAAAAAGCGTTTCATTATTTTTGTTAGTTTTCTAGTACTTTGCCCACGTATTTCCGTTGTTGAAAGATCTGAATTTACTTACTTACAAACGTTTTCTTTTTTAATGCACGTTGGAGTTGGTTAAATACAAATAACGTTTCCTTCTTTAGACGCAGCTGGCACTCTGTCATTATACTACTTCATACAGTGAAGAGAATTTTCCAATGGCCAATGAGTTCCGGCCCGAGCGTTGGCTGCGGAAAGATAATTTGGACAGGGTTGACAATTTTGGTTCCATCCCCTTTGGTTATGGCATTCGAAGTTGTATTGGAAAAAGAGTTGCGGAACTGGAAATTCATCTTGCACTGATTCAGGTTAGAAATGTGGGACCGCATTACAGGAAGAAAAATATATTGCTATGGTTCTTTTTTTTTTCTATGTACCGTTTCTCAATATGTTATTGTGCACAAAAGTATTGTGTTGGAGTGTTGTCAAACACTCATCCTTCAAAAGAGATTGCGAATGATAATGCTTGAAGTGTAGCATACTAGTTAAACTGCACTGCAGATGAAAAATTCTTTATAGTGAACTGAAGTGAAAATAAATGTAAGATTATTCAGGAAATGTATGGGTTTAGCACAGAAGGTTTTCTTATTTTAAGCAAAATGAAAAATTTCCCTAATGTATATTAGGATAGTTACCTGCTCAGCTGCAGTACTTTGCAATACACTCAATACTTAAGAGCTGAAAATGTTTTTTATATCCTTTTTCTGAACATTGTGTTATTACAGTGAAATCAAATTACTGAGTTCTCTGTATTCCATGTTTTCTGTCCTTTCTCCTTCCTTCTTCTAACTGTACCATCATTTTATATACAGGTTAACATAATGCAAAGTACATTTGAATATTTGTAGCTTTTCTAACAGCTGCTGCACTTCTCTTGTCATTTACAAGGCTCCCTTTAACTCAAATATTGAGACAAATTGTGCATCATAACACAAGGATTTAGAAGCTATCTGGAGTTACTTAGCCATAATGGTAGTTAGACGTGATATCTATTCAAAGCACAACTTGATTAAATTTGCCTTTAAAATTTCCTCAGGTAAATATCTAGAGCAAGCTCAATAAAAAATAGCATCTATCTTTTGGAACTCAGAGTGAAATAAGTCTCGGGACTGAATAAAGAAAAACACAGTTGCAGCTTTTTGAACAAGAGGATCAAGGAAGTTGTAAAGATCTTTGTTTTGTTTTCTGGAAAGAAAGCAGAACAAAATACCACGTGATCTATTTACAAGCACAGAAATACCAAAGTTGTTCAAAAATAGAAACACATGAAGCATGAAGGTGACAAATGAGAATTTCTTAGATAGTTCTCAATTCTTTTCTTGATTTGGTTATTTATCTAGTGCCGTGGATTTAGAGGAAGTCATATTTTCTAACATCAGAAAATATTTCTTACATGTCCTATGTATTGTTCTTGCAAGTAAATTAATAATTTTTTTTCCCCAGATGGACGTACCTATAAAATACATGCAGAGCTGGTTGAAAAAAAATAGCTGGAGGCAGTAGTTGTCCAAAAAGAAAAAAAAAAAAAATGCTGTTAAACTGAGAAAATGCTGTATTCAAATTCTGTAAGAGACTGTCTTGCATTTAGTTTAGGCTGGTATTTTCACTAACAGTGTAAAATATGAGTTAAAAAGATGACTCTGCATTGCATTTTAAAGACAGTACAGTCAAATTGGAAGAAGGGAAGGATATTAAGAATGAAAGGCCTGAAAAACAAGAAAATTCAACTTGTCATCTACAGTTAAAATGTACTTTATATATATGAAAGTAATGCATTGTTTCATGTTCTTATTGTGAGAGGGCTGAGAGAAGATAGCTTGATTTCTAGGAGAAGAAGCTGAGAAGGCTACAGTATTTCCTTTGTAAAAGTTGCAATACTTCTGGTAGATATATTTCATATTCAACTTCAAAACTAAGGTGGGCTAAATGTCTTGAAGTTTGTTTTAGCCCACTATTTCTGTGATTTTTGTTTCAAAAAAAGAGATGAGTTTTTGCTTCTCTCACTTTCATTAAGTGTATGGGAACGAAAGTTGTAATGCACAGAGAGCCTTTGTGGTTGAATTGTACTGGTTCTACTCGGGAGAGATTTTTGTATCCTACTTCTTGATTATTATGATTATGGTGCACCAGATTGTCCCTGACTCAGGTTTTGTTTTTTGTTCATTTGTTTTATAGTTGCATATACTGATTTATAGTAAAACAAAAAATTCATGAGAGGAAGGCTCACAAGATTTGAAAGATACTTCAGTTTCTTTGAAAGCTCGGATGGTTTAACCTAATCTTGTTGAAATTCTCCAGAAAGAGCTGATCTCAGTTTTGGTTTCTTTTGTTGATTTCATTGTAATTTTTTTTTGAGAGAGTCTTCTTTAATCAGAGGACGAAGATTTTAAGCTATTATCTTTGCACCATTTGTTTCTCTTGTGTAAGGATCACAGTACTCAGGCTGTGTAGGAGAGGAAGATGAAACTGACAGCTGAGATACTGCTTGTGACAGTCTCTTACATTTTCTTTTCCCAAGTTTTCATCTATTCTTCATCTGTGATTTTGCAGGTTTTCTAATATTTGCCTTATTTGTCTTTACAGTTGCTTCAGAATTTTGAGATTAAAATTTCTCCCAAAACTGAACCAGTTCAGGCCAAAACCCACGGACTTCTGACTCCTGGAGGCTCCATCAATGTGAGATTTTCTGACAGAAAGTGAGACTGAGATATTTTGGAAATACTTGTGTGACTTTCAGGGGAACAGGCTTGCATCTAATGGACGTTTGATCGTAACATGCTTTCTGGTTTGTAGGTTCTTTACAATATGACCAAGTATTATGTTCTGCCTTATACCTAACAGCACATAACAAAAGTTACCTCTCTTGTAATTGAAAATTACATGTTTGAAAATACATGCTAAACAGTTCCTTCTTGCACTGGCATTCTCCTACTTGTATTTCAAATTGTAGCAGCACGTGCATTGGAAAAAAAAAAAAAAAAAAAAAAGTAAAACTCAGACATGCTTTTGTCATTCGGTGATTTTATTACACTATTTTATAGTAAAAGTCAGTTATTCTTGTGAGTTATTAGAGAGCAAAAGAATTGTTATCTGGTATTAGCTGCATTTAGGAGTTTGTGTCTTTGTTTTTTGTCCTCCAAGTGTGTTCTTTAAAAATTTCTGCGTAACGTTAAAAATGAGGTGATTTTCTCTTGTCTGTAAAAAAAACATTTACATTACATGTATTTAAAATATTAACACAGTAATATGAAATGTAAGGACTGAAAAATATACAATTTGCATCAATGTTAGTCTCAAAATTCAGAAACAATTTACAGTTTATCTCAAATACAGCATCCATAAAATATTACCATATGATTTCCTTAAAAAAAAAAAACAACAACAACAACAAAACCATGAAATTTAAACAATCCATTGTAGAGTTGTGAACGTAGACATTGTCTTATCACCGAAGAAAAGCTGAGTGGATTAGCACAAGCCACTTTCACTGTTCTAACTATTATTATGCCAAAATCATCTGTAAATAAGAAAAATGAAAAAGTTGTTACATTTTTATCATTTAATGGAAATACTATTGAATATCTTCACAGTTCTTCAACAGTAAGAACTGGAAACTTCCCATTGTAGTGTGCTGAGCTCATAGACAGGTGCGCGTGCTATAGGATGGGAATGTGACTACTGAGGTATTTGAAGGCTTTTAATTTTTTTTTTCCTGGTGTCCAATATGAAGTGTGGGCAACAGAAATATTTTTGTTTTTGCTTTATTTTTTTCTGTAACAGCTAACAGAAATGAGATTTCAGTCTTCAGATGAATTCTCATGTCTCTGTACACTAACCTTACGTTCTCTTTCTGAGAGAAACCTTATACCTTGGGACCATGTTGTGCCTTCAGCAACACTCAAACCTGCCTATCCTAACATGATATTATCTATATGATAACGTATAGCTAACTGTTTACATGTCAGGCTTTGACTGTTGCTTGTGAGGCAGTTTACATACTGATAATCATAGATATTCAGATGTGCCAAGATAAAAGTTGTGCCACTCGGTATTTAAAATGACATTTTTCTATTCACATCTGACTGTAAAATGGCAAAGGTAAGTTATGAATGAAATAATATGCTTCAGTTAAAATGGTATACATGAGATTTTATGTAGCTAACCATTACAGTCATATTTTTTTGTTGTGCTTTGGTTAGTTTTTGTAGTATGTTTTCAAGGTCTTGACGGAAGAAAAATATTCCTTTAAAATAATAATAGTCAACAGAATTGATTTGGTCTGCAGGAAGATGAAATGTTTACATGACTTCAAAATGTCAGCACTGCATTGAGCACATACATGTAGGTGTGCACTACAGCATAAGCAGGTAATCTCTGGAAGTTGTTCTTTTCTTGAATGAGCTGGCATTCTGATGACGATTTTTTTTTTTTTTTTTTTTTTCCCTCCAGGAATTCACATTATTTCCATTTATTTTCTGTTCCATTTTTATTTCTAATATGAAGTAAAATGGAGAGTATTTGCCAGAGCCAACTGGCATCTAAAGGGGATGTTTTTTGCAAAGGTTTGTGCAGTTAATGAGTTGAATATTTGTCTTCATAACTGCCATTTTATGTTGACCTGAGGACCAAAGCCCCAAACCCTAAATCTAGATATTGATTCCTTATAGGGTCTTTCTTTTTTTTGCATTATCATAACATTTTTGAAGCACCAACCATTGCTAGGTAGCAGTATTTTCTGCTTGATACCAGTTCCTAACTAATGCATCACTGTAAAAGAGGAAAGAAGCATTCTAAAGTGCTCTTTAAAGGATTTCAGTATTCTCATGAAAACCTGTAATTCGTGTTAACAGAGCATCTATCCATGTAAGTTGTCTTTTTTTTTTCTTTTTTTTTTTTTTTTACTTAATAAAGTATTTATACAGAATATGTAAGTTCTGGTTCTTATTTTATTGCTCATTATAATTGCGTTTTTCTTTAGTAGCCTGAAGTTTTTAACTTCCTAGATAGAACTGAAAGGTTCGTTATTGCATGGGAAATTGCTTTTTCAGCTAGAAAAGAGGGGGATTAATATGAGAATTAAAGGTGTATAGTGACCCAGTTGAAGGAGTGTTATATAAGAAGTACTGCCATATTGGAGGAAAGGTGCTGGCAAAGTTGCATAAGTAATGTGGACTGCTCATAATGTCATATTTTGATTAATGATTAATGCTTAATACAAAGGAGAGTGTAAATGATATAAACATTGGAGGAAAAAATAGGGAAAAACAGCATAGGACATACTAATACTAAAGATGGGATGGAATTCAATAGAAAAATGTGTTTTTAGGGAAAAAGATTTATCTGAGGAGGTCCTCAGTTGAAAATGAAGTGTGTAGACATGGCTATGAATTGTAAGTATGTTGAAATGATGGAAAATGTGGCCTAGAAGGTACCAGAGAACATGACTGGTAGAGATTAGGAAAAAAAGTATGTGAGACTGCATCTGGCATGCTGTGTACAGTTTGATTGTTTGTTCAAGAATTGCGGAGTTTGAGTTGAATAGGTAATGTGGCTACCAGGGTTCTCAGGTTAATAAAGAAAGTTTCTGTGTGTGGAGAAAGGGTTATATTTATCATGCGTTTCACTCTGCCCTCCTGTGGTTTAAACAGACCAGAACATAAGCTTGCAGATCCAACCCTGGCACATCTGAAGGCTATGTGACTACAGGCTTATTAGTACTTGTTTCTTTGGGCATGAATCTGTTCTAGCTTGATTACACACTTTCCAATTGGATTTGATAGGAGATAAAGGAGCCATGGATATCTGCTAGCAATTAAATTTTTTTTGAAAAATTCCTTTGGGCAATTCAGAGTGAAAATTGAAAGAGGAGATAGAACATTCTTTTTCAAATACCTGCAAGTGTTGATCCCTTAAAGTAAAGGGAAGCACTGCCCAAAGCAAGTATCTCCAGGTAGCAAACTGAATGAATGAAAACACTGCAACTGGCTAAGTTAAGAAACATAGATTCCTTTGCAGTCCCTGTAATAAATTCCTCTTTCATTTTTTTAACAGAATTACTACTTTTTTAAATGATAATCCATACGTTTAAAATTAGAATTGCTGTATTCAGTCAATCTTTTTTTTTAAAAAAAACTCTATTGTAGGTACACAGGCATGAAAGGAGTCTAAAAGCAATGGTGAAGTAGTCATACTGCAGCACAATTTTATGCCAGTGGTGAATGAAACTTACAAGCTCCTTAAGTACCCAGTATTGATGTGGCTGTGAAGATGGAGAGTAGCATGGCTGGCAGCTCTGAGCTTGAGAGAAGTAGGCAATCTGGGGGATGTTGGGAGGTAGGTGGGTGAGCTGTTCTGCTGAGCACAGGATTGGGTAAGGGAAGTAGGAGAGCCATGCAAAGTGAAGGCTTTGGGGCTGTGCCAGGCAGGCGATCTGTGGGAGCAGTAGGGGTGAGTTATGGGCTGTTTGCTCGTAGGATGAGGGTGAAAGTAATGGAATAAGGTGAGAGAGAACTGTAGTGTGTGTGCTATTTACACCAATACAAAGACCCCGTGTTTTTTTTATAATGCAGTTTTTCCTTCTCATGTTGTTTTCACAAGTTCATAATGTTTTTTTTTTTTAAAAAAGCTATCATATACCTATAAAAGATAAATATATCTGCTATATATAAGCTTGCAGATGCCCTATTATTTCCCACGCTCATGTTCATTCTGAATTGAAAAACAAACAAAACAAAGAAAAAACCCGCTATTGTCATACCAGTATTTTAAAAAGAGTTTAATCTGGGAGTTTCACTTATTGTCCATGCCATTTTTCTCACAGCTCTGAAAATCCTACAGTGTGGTTTTAGTACCTCTAGATGGTGCTGCTTTTCTAGTATTCCTCATAAAAGACTGGTTATGTACCTAAGCAAAAATAATAGTAGAAATGGCTAAAAGCCGTGAACTTACTATAGTTCCCTGAAGATAGAGGGCTTCTGTTAAATGTTTCAAACTCTCAGCTGTTCTATATGCAGGTGTGTAGATGTACTCAAATGGTGTTTGTTTTTGTGAATACTTGCTTAAAGTAGGGCTTTGTAAATAGCTTGTAGGATGGTATGTTCAAAGTTTCATGTAGGTCTCCTTAGAGAAAATCCAGCCTTTCTAGTCCTGTATGTGTTCTGCTGAAGTTTCACTTTAACAGAGTTTGTTAATTATTAAGCTTTGGAAGTTAACCTGTTATCATGCAGAACTGGAAATAAAGACAGATGCTACTCTGAAGAGATTACATTGTAGGTAAGGTAAGAATAAAGGAGGGCAGGAAATATTTGAGAGGGATATATTGCTTGTTCCGTTGTGAATTTCAGTACCGCGTTGTAGTAAGCAGTGGAACTTCTGACAACATTTGAAGGATGTTGTACCAATCCTGGCAATGCATGAAACACACTGTTTGCTGCCAAGTGTTTACCTAGTTGGGAAACAATTAAATTGAAGTGTAAACTCACTCAAGCAGCTCCCCCTGCTGAGATAAAAGGAAAGCTGGAATCAAGGATATTGGATGTGTCTAAGGGATAAACAATTCCAAGAGAATATTTGCTGCAGTTGAGTTTTAGGATAAAGTCTGCTTGTATCATTTTAATATTTCAAGTCAGACAAAACCAGGTCTGCATAAATCAATGGATGAAAGGGATGAGCAACTTTGTTCAGATTGCACTGCTTCTATATTTTTGAGGGTAAAAACAGAAAAATTTGAAAGCATGCAAAAACTTTTGTGCTTTCTGATATGCAGGACATGAGCTGCAAAATTACCCAGCTTTGCTCAAGTTACATCTCATTGCATCTACAATTACATTAGTCTGGTCTTTAAAAAAAAAAAAAAACAAACAAAAAAAAACCAAACACTTTTTTTTAGAATAGTATTGTAACACGGAAAATTTAGGATGTATATGAAGTGGAATGCATACAATGATCATTAGAGGTGCTAACATATGCTAGAAGAGAAATCCTTGACCTGGATTTAAGGAAAACTGATAACAAGGGATGCTTGAAGACCTTTCCTGAAGGAAGTTCTTAATTCGTGTCATTTCAGATTGCAGCTATGTTTACATTAGCAAACCAGGTTCTTTTTAGCAACTCGTTCTCAACTCTTTGTTTTTTAAACTGAATTAGTGCTTACCTTAGTTTACAATTGAGTATGTGGACAATGGGAAGAATAAAAATCCTCATTTGAACAAGATTCTTTTATTCTCAGTAACTCAAACTGTGAAGATCTTTCTCTCTTTATAAAGGCAGGTAATCACTTGAATTTGCAAGATTCCCAAATGCTATGAAGACTTCATACTGCTTGAGAATGGAAACATTAACTCTAGCTGATTAGAGAATAGGAAAGGTAAGTGAGGAATTAGTAATAGGTATCTTGGAGTGGCTTGGTCTAAGATAGTACTGCAAAGTAAACCGGTACTTCGCTATGACATGAACAGATGCATTTTCCATGTTTTTGCTCAAATCCGCAGATACTAAAATGCATTATAACAATAACTCTATCAAACACCAGTCATTTTCAGATGAAGCAGTGTGAGATAACACCTTTTGCACCAAATTTGTGCAGGAAGTAATCATTTGCCAGATGCTAGTCAGCTTAGTTTTGCAGTGCATATAGGTCATCGGTGCCAGAAACAGCAGGCAGCCACTTGTCTCACTTCTATCTGACGTCATATTTTAAAGGTGGTTCAAAAAAATCCCATCAGATGCAGATTTGAGATGCTAATCTTTGTTGGCAAAGGTTTCTAATTCATATCGTGATGCAAGAGATTAATCAGCTCGCCAGCTAGGACTGCAGGGAATGTCTGCATTTGCCCATTCATTTTTTGTGTGAGGTTAAGTTGAAACACGAAAGATCTAATTGAACCGTGCTACTCTAAGAAAGCAAATGTCTCTTCATGTTTGTGTGTTTGGGAGACTGATTTTACGTGCTCCATCAATAATTTCAGAATTTTGAAATGCACTTTCTGCATCTTCTGATAATGAGTCATCTTGACTATAGTAGAGATTAATGTCGTGACACAGTGCCACAGAGGAATGTAAGAGTAATACCTGTAATTACTACAATTTTATCGATGTCTGATTTGCTATGAAGTACATTTGTAACTATCTGACACCTGATGTTGGCATTTCACCCTGTAAAACTATGGAGAGCGGATTAATCTTACTTGGTATTTGGCTAGAGAAAATTCCAGATAGTGAACTATGCTTAGTCTGCTGGCGCAGAAAATAGTGATCTATTATTCAGTTCCTGCTGTAAGAAGCAGGAATATGTCTCTTGCTAACTCAAGTAAAAATCAAGATGAATTAAATGAAGGAAAAGTGAACGGTGAGGAATAATCTTATATTTTCCTGATACTTTGGGTTAAGATCTGAAGGCTTTTCCACTGTTTTGTCTACAACTGGAATAGAAAAAAATCCTTCTTAGGCCAATTCACTTTTCTGGTTAATATTTGTAACTGCTTACTGTTAGAAAAAAAGATAAAAGAAATAAGTTCATTAATTTTAGGTATCTTAAGATAATGCAACAAATGAAACTGCCCTTCAAATTACAGATTGTCAATTTGTTTTTTACTTCTAAAGTTTGGAAATGTTTGACTACTTGACTGAAAGAGTGATTTTTAGCCTCAGGACCAGCAGACCAAGATGCCTCTTGTGCATGCTTAAATGTTTTCACAAAAGTAATTATTAAAAGGATGGCAAATCAAAAAAGAGTAAGAACTGTTACTTAAAAGATATTTTCCTTTGTTTTTGTGGTGTTCTTGTGAACAAGTGTCTAAGGGAAACAGATATCAAAGACAGCAATGATTCAGCATGTTCTGTATGACCAGTTAGGCATTCCTAT